TCCCTTTGGTTGCACAAACCTGGCATATCAGCTTTTCAGCCAGGGCTATTATCCATGCTCTGGCGTACCATGCTTCAATGTTCAATCCCAAGACAGTACACCACCACATAGCTATTTCCATACACGAGAGGAGGCAGTGACACATTAAAAGTTCTTTATGAGCAACTGGTGGAATAGACATGTCCTGAGTATTCTGAGTCAAGCAAGTTGAGGAGATGGTTGTAGGTCTGTTTGGTATAATACACCCAATTCTTTATTTAGCAGAAGCCAAAATGAATGAACAGATTTACAAAACCACCACATGTGCATGTAAGGTCCAGTGACAATGAATATTGAGTCCATAGTTCATTAATCATTGGATTGCTTCATGTTGCACTCAGATCTGCAGCTCTCTTCCAGAAGCATTTTTTTCAGCTTCATGCTAAACTGTGGTCTGGACATTTGCTAAGAAAATTTCACAGTACCTGACTGTTGATTCAACAAACACGGTTCATCCACATCTTTATCCTGAGTCAATGGTATATGCTGAAAGAGAATCCAGGAATCTGGTTGTCAATTTGTGCCATTCAAGTGTTTTTACTAGTGTTCCATGAATAATGTGCTGTATGAAGCATAATTTCAAGAAAAAGAGGCACACAGCCCAAACACCTTTTCTTGGAAATAAGGATACATTCATAAGTCGCAGTTTCTATTGGTGGTAACATGTGACAGTCTGCTCTGTAGGGAACATGGAAACTTTCCACACAATTCGGGTGATTTGCATAATGGATAGCTCTCAGGTGTCACAGATGCCACCAGTTTTCACATGGCAGCTGTAACTTAAAAATAGACAGTTCCTATACAGGGTCAGACAACCTTTGGCTCTTAATGATGTTGGACTCCCGTCTGTCAAGGCAGCATGGCCAATGGTCAAAGCTGATGGGATTTGTAGTCCAGCAACATATGGAAGGTCACAAGTTGCCCATCATTTTCAGCATCCTTTCTTTCCCCCCCCTTTTTTACTGTGCCATGAACTGAACAAACACTGGTGTTAAGTCTGCTTGCATAGGGGACCAGGGCTTCAAAAAAGTAGGGGCATGGCAAGTTCCCCTCTCTTCTACCACACATTTCCTCAGCTTCATCCCTACGAAACTCCACACACCTGCTGTAGGTAGTTATCAGCCATGAAAATTTAAATGGAACCTAAATGTACAGATTGGGTTTATCAGGGATGGCCCTCCAGATGTAGTTGGGCTGCACTGGCCATGTTGATTGCTGTTGATGGGAGTTGGGAGTCCAGCAGCTTTGGCGGGGGCACATTGCTTCCCCATTCCTTCAATATAATTATCGGATGCTAGAAATAAACACGGCATGGCATGCTGCTGTTCTTGTGCTCTGTTTGTCAGCTTCTCAGGGAGCATGTAACTGCCCAGTGCTAGAAAGAGAGGTGCAAGACTTATCCAAGACCTCAGTCTGAGCACAAGTCAGAGGTGAATGCTGAGCTCAAAAACAACCCCACAAGTGTTGCTACAATATAACATCCAGATTACAAAAGGCACAACGCTAACAAGTGACTTGCCCACAAACTGAGAGGTAAGGTCTGAAACCCAAACATCAAACCCTGAAGATAAATCCCCCTTCAATTAATTTACTCCAAAATATTGAAATTCCACCCAGAGCCCCCAAATCAGTTCCTTTTGCATTATTGTACCAGTTCAACTGGCTAATACCCTGTTTCCCAAACGTCTTGCGACTCGAACGTTTTGGCTCCCGAACGCCGCAAACCTGGAAGTGAGTGTTGTGGTTTGCGAACGTTTTTTGGAAGCTGAACGTCCAATGCGGTTTTCTTGGCTTCCGATTGGCTGCAGGAAGCTCCTGCAGCCAATTGGAAGCCATGTCTTGGTTTTCGAACGGTTTCAGTAGTCAAATGGACTTCAGGAACGGATTCTGTTTGAGAACCAAGGTACCACTTTAGTGTGCTTCTTGTCCCAATTCAAGATGCTGTTTTCAACCTATGATGTAGGCCTGGGACATACATACCAGCCCACACACGTTGGACATGTAAAGAGTGCTTCATTAGTAGGAGGGGAAGAGGGACACACACAGCTCGGCCCTGCTCCCCAGCATCTGTGCATTGAACCTGAATGTCTTACAAAGAGATCTATGCTCACTTAGAGCTTTCAACATGTAGGCTTCCAAGCAACCAGGTATTGTAATGTAATCTGAGTCCACCAGTGTCTTACAAGGAACTTCAGTAAGGACTGCTGAGGTGTAATGTTGTGCCAAGCCTTGTGCTGAAGCTTCAGCAAACTCTCCCAGTGTCCTTCTTGAGAACAAAAATTACAGACTCTTCCCCCCCCCCCCAAGATGATGGCTCAACATTTTGTGCGCCTATTAAAGGAGCTATAACAATGTGCCTCTACTATGATAAAATGAGTTTTAATGTTTGGGTGAAAAGTACTATGTTGCCTAACTTTTCGCGATTTACATTACTGCTAAATTTCTCATCCTTTTAATATTAACACGAACTTTCTTATTTTTGAAAAATGCAAAATAAAAATGAGGGCTATAGTTTAAGCACACAGTTTAAAAAGAAAAGTGTATGAGTTATATATAATTAGCATTTATGTGGTAATATCATGTTAACATGTCAAAAGGTTTTAATTAAAATTACATCGGCAATTAAATATATTATTCTAAAATGGTGGCATAAGGTAAAGGCAGCTCCTTAGCAACAGAAATATAAGAGTCTTTTTCATGTTTTTTTTAATCTGGGAGTGAAAATGAACATTCTCATACTCATGTATGAAAACAGCTTTCCATATTCACATTTTGCAACCTGCCTTCTCTAATCTGGGCCTTTTTTTATATGCATTTGCAAGCTGACTATTTTTAAAAAATAAATTTATTGGTTTGGTTTTTTTGAAAATAACGTCTCCCTTAACAAAAAACTTGGAAGTATACAGCATAAAAATACACAGTCAGTAGGCTAAAGCATAGAATATGATTTAACCTAGAGCAACCAAAAAAGTTGACTGCAAAGGTTAAAGATGGTTTTTCTTATTTATGCAATCAATACAACAGTACCAGTCATCTGAAACGAGTCTTTCTGTCTCTAGCTAGTCATATTTTGTTGGTCAGCTGGGTTGGTCACCAAACCCAGTTAAGCCAATTTGTCCAAGACTTTCCAAAACCAGGGTATAACAAATCTTAACTGCTAACGACAGATATCCAGTAAGAGATTTAAATGAGAGATCAGCATTCTGGCTCTGAAATATATTCAGTAAAGTTAACCCAGTGGACTGAATGACTTGTTGACCAGTGTTAGGTAAAGGTATCTATGAAAACCCTGTCTTTCAAAAACCTGACACCTTAACGTAATACCACCATTTATGCTGACATGTTTCCTTCATTTCACATCCTTGTGAACAAAATGGTTTAAGAGAAAGTTGCATGTGTGCAAGATAAAGAGTTATGAAGTGCCATTTTTGCAGTGTTTTTAGGACTGTTTATTTACTGGACCATTTCTTCAGGCTCTCCTGTGTTAATATGTTTATATTTAGCACAAAAGATTTTTAACCCTGAAACACTGTGGGTAATATTTCCCCAGTGCCATGAAGTTCAGTAGGGAACTGAGATACCTTGCTCCAAAGGAATAAATTATAACTTAGTGAAGAAAGTAATGAATTGCTACCAAAGTCACCTGTGTATTGGGGAACTCGTGTAAATATGTTAGGGATGCCCAAATTAAAATACTTCTGATTGCATATGAACAGCAGGTGCATTGAACTTTCACTGAAAAGTTATCCAGTTTTTGAGGAGCATAATGATGACCTAAAGTTATATTTCTAACTTTAGCTTTAAGTATTTTTAAGGGGGTTTTTTGGTTAGCTCTAGGCAAAAATACAGATCATACTATCAAACGCCATCATCAGATAAAGCAGCAAACCCTTCCACTCCCTAGCCAACTGAATCTTAAGCAAGAGCTCCACTTATAATCCTGCTGCATACATCATCCTTCTGTCTAATGTGACTAGTGGTGTGACTTGGTTAACTCTGGCTAGTGAATGAGCGGACAAGGAGGCTTTATTGTGAGAGATTAGCATAGAGGAAGTCAGAATGAGGAAGTTACTCAAGCAAAGGTAGAATACTTCTTTCCTTTGATGAGGTTCCTGCTTCATGCCAGCAGATTAAATGGTAATACATCTTTTTAAGGTTGCCTGCATTTCTAATTACAAGGTGAATGCATCCCAGATACCTGAAGATCTTTTTTAAAGCTCAGAGTGTTTTGCGAGTTGAACCGATACAGTGAGAAGTACGCACCACTGGATTCAATAGAACTTGCACTCAGGAAGCCATGTACAGAACTACAGTCATGCTGATCCTAATAAAATGTGTCTTATTCTATATATTTCTGCTCTTTCATGGCAAATCTGTATGATAGATCAGTGGTGGGCAACTGAATCTGGTTCTTCCAAATGGAACATTTTCCTGTCAACAGAGGAAGCATTTTTAAGGGACACTGGTTTGTGGGGAATGGCCTCATGGACCAAACTGGGATACATATTGGGCCTAATTAGTCCCAAGAGCTGAAGATTCCCCACCATTGTGAGCACTTGAATTTCCCTTGGAGGTGTTGCTTATGGGAGCTGTCACGATGAGCTTCTGGGATTCAAAATTTACTACTACACCACTAAGTGCATCTTGAGACATCATAAAAAAGGAAGAAACATCTGTCACAAATCCATAGACTGCTAGTAGTAATCCGGTAAAACAAATGTGTCCATTCTCCTACCTATTTTGTACTTGGCTGCTCATGCAGATGTTCCACTTAAATCGACAGAGCTTATTCATTCATAACGTAGTAGGACTGCATCTGTCAACATCCTTTGGGTAGCATATTATCTATTGGGGATTGAGATTAATAATTCAGCATTCAGTAGTAAAAGCTGAAAAAGTGTGTTCAATAGCGTATTTGTTTTTTATGGGAATATTTTATTTATTTCTGCTAGGTCACAGTAATGAAAGGCAGCAATAGGAATAAAGATCATTCAACAGACGGAGAGGGTACTGGGAAACGACCAAAGAGAAAGTGTCTTCAGTGGCATCCACTACTTGCAAAGAAAATCCTTGACTTTTCAGAAGAAGAGGAGGAGGAAGAGGACGAAGAAGATATTGATAAGGTGAACCTAGGGTGTCAAAAAGTAGAGCTTTAGTATGATATATGTTGGAGATTTGTTGCCTGTGCAAGCCTTCTAAAACCCATTTGGAAATCAAATTCATAGGTTTTTTAAATATCACTCAGCATGACTATTGTGGTTTGCCCCCATTCATATTGAGTAATATCTAAAAAGAGTATCTTTTCCAAATGTTAGACGAGCCCCACACTGTATCATGACCCTAGGTCCATGTAGTCTAGCATCTTTTTCCCAACCCTGTGTGCCCACAGAGTAGCTCATGAATGAATCAACTCTATCCCATTTAGCCATCCAGAAGTTGGTATGCAGATACAGAGGTCTTCTGAATACAGAGATTTTGAGCTATCATGGGTAATAGCTACGGATAGGACTATTGTCCATGAATTTGTTTAATCATTTAGTAGCCATTGCCACATTCAGCAAATTCCGAAAGTTAATTATTTGTTGTGGAAATTATCATAAATTACATTATTTTTCATAATAATTCCTTTTAAAAAAAAAAAAATCCCACCCAAGGCAACTTAATAAACTTTAAAATAATTAACTTTAAAATAAAACCATTTAATACCCCATATTTAAAACACATTGGGGTAGTAAATATCTCTTTTGCCCATCCACTAAAACAAGTGGGCATGCTTCCATCAACAAAATTGTTCAGTGCAACAATTTAAAGCACAAACCAGTGCAGAACCTTAAAACCATTCAGATCACAAAAGCATTTTAAACAGGAAGACTTTATCTACCTGGTTAAAGGTAAAGGGACCGACCCCTGACCATTAGGTCCAGTCGTGGCCGACTCTGGGGTTGCGGTGCTCATCTTGCTTTATTGGCCAAGGGAGCCGGCGTACAGCTTCCGGGTCATGTGGCCAGCATGACTAAGCCAGTTCTGGCAAACCAGAGCAGCGCACGGAAACGCCGTTTACCTTCCCACCGGAGATAAATCACCTATTTATCTACTTGCACTTTGACGTGCTTTCGAACTGCTAGGTTGGCAGGAGCTGGGACTGAGCAACGGGGACTCACCCCGTTGCGGGGATTCGAACTGCCAACCTTCTGATCGGCAAGTCCTAGGCTCTGTGGTTTAACCCACAGCGCCACCTGCGTCCCTATCTACCTATCTACCTGGTTAGAAGACCATTAATGAGGGGGCAAGACAAGCCTGCCTTGGGAGGAAGTCCCATAGTCTGGGCACAGCAAGATAGATTTCTGTCGAACCTCACTTCAGTCTCTGAGTGGAATCTGTTTTTCATCCCACAAAGTGTAAATGCAAAGCTAATGTAATATTATTTGCTCAGACATTTTGCTGAATTGATTGCTTCACTGCAGGGGATTTGCAGGTTTTTAACACAGAATATTAAGTTAGATGTTGGAGCGAATAACTAATAGACACGAGAAATATCCATTACATCTGTAGAATTTATATTTGTAAAATAGGTCCATCTTCTTGGTGCTGATGGTCTTGAGCACGATGCTGACGAAACAGAAGATGAGGAATCTTCAGAGCAACGAGCTCGCAGGCCGATGAATGCATTCCTTCTGTTCTGCAAACGCCACCGTTCCCTTGTGCGGCAAGAACACCCCCGTCTGGACAATCGTGGTGCTACCAAGATCCTGGCGGATTGGTGGTCTGTTCTAGACCCTAAAGAAAAGCAGAAATACACCGACATGGCCAAGGAGGTACCCAGTGACATTATAATAATAATAATAATAATAAATTATTTATATCCCGCCCTCCCCAGCCGAAGCCGGGCTCAGGGCGGCTAACAACACTAAAATAGTGCAACATTATAAAAACATTATAAAAATTAATTAAAATCAAAATTGATGGCAACCATAAACTAAAGTTTTGTAAAGATTGCCAAAGGAGGGAGTCAGGCTATGCCCTGACCAAAGGCCACATGTTTAAATGGTGAACATTTGAAAAACAGCATCATACTTAAAATCCCTTCCTCCCCCAGTCTGTGTCAAGTTTTGCAAGGGAGAGGATTAAACAAGAATTCAAGAAGGAAAGGAGCTTCGTGACCAAGCTAAACAGTTCAGTTTATACATTTCATACAGTGTTTTTTAAATCGTGTTACTGTGACCTGAAGTACCTGATTCAAAAAAGCAGGATTACTAAATATACAATTTTTTTGGTCTGGATACCCTCCTTTTACAGAGGCCCATTCCCATTTTAAAACCCAAAAGAAATACCTGTTTTACTTTCTAATATTTCCCTTTCCAAATTACTGCTACTGAAACAGACCCAAAGGGTAGATTTATTTTAATTAAGGGTTTTCTTGACGACTAGCTATTTGCTGGTGATATGCTTTGAATTCTAATCAGACTTATTTTATTAAAAAAAAAAAAATACCTCGCAACAACTTGAGATGTTAGAAGAGCATACTTTTTTTAACTAATGCCGATGTTAACTATTTAATTTATCAATAATTTGATAACCTAGACTACCATAACACCTGATTTGGCTCTCTAAACACTAACGCTCATTGGCTACATTCAAATGAAGGGAAACTACTGCATATCGACCTGAGCAAGTTGTGCTTCCTTTTTCTGGTTAATTGGCTGTAACTTTTGATAGAATACAGATAATTGAACTATCTTTGTTGCATTACATTCTTCATTAAATTTTCTTTCCATTGATATATAATTTCATGGTATTACTCCAATAAAAGTGGAGTTGTGAGCCATCAAACCTCAGAAATACACTTTTTCCAAAAGGTTTTCACAATTTTGGCCACTAGTGTACCTTCACTGTCAGAGGCAGTATGTTTCTGAATGCTAGTTCCTGGGAATCACAGGTTGAGATTGTGCGGTTGCTTTCAAGGCTCGCTTTTGGGCTTCCCATAGTTGACTGCTGTGAAACAAATGCTCGAACTCCAGTAAGGAATGATCTCCCTGCAGAATTTATAAAACTTATATTTATAAAATTCTGCTGCAGGGAAACTCTCCTAAATTAATCTATAAAGGCAGCAGATAAGATCCAAAATACAGCATGCCTTGATAAATAATAAGTCTTTCACCATGCAACTGAAGTTCAGTTCAGGGAAAGCTTCTTGGGGACAGTGTATCATACCTGGTGTGATACAATCAAAAGCCCTCTTTATATTTATTCCGAATCACCCCGTAGTGGATAATGTCTTTAGATATTCTTCTTTATTGATTCAGAATAACAAAAATAGTTTTCATTTGGTTTTTTTCAATACTGAAATTAGGGACATTATTTCAGCTGGTAGTAAAAAAAAACACAACAGTAATAATAATGGAATCCAGTAGTGATCTGGAAAATTGGAGAGTTGAATTTATACGACAAAAATGTCTTTTGGGATTTTTAACTTCCCCTTGAACCTTTGTCAGTGGGGAAGAAGAACAACTGCATAACACTCCTGTGAAAAGTGACAATTAGAAACTTCTAACAATAGTGTGTTGAAAACTGCTATGCCTGCGGCGATATGATTCACACAAACCCTCCCTCCCAGGCTTGGTTCTGAAAGCTAGTCTCGCATTTCTCTATTGAAAAGGAACAATATAGCCAAGTGTGTTCAGCTCAGTAACATTCATTCCAAGAATGTGTATGAGACGTGCAATTAAGCATATAATTTTTATTCTTTCTGTAGTTTAGCTGTGCAATAGCAGTAATTATGAACAAAAACTTGCCACTGGGTCCTCTTAACAATTTTTTCCTGGTAAAGCATTGATGAAAATACATACAGGAGAGAGAGGGTTTTCTTTTTAATTGCATTTTAAAAATTGTAGTTATAATTTGGCTTCATTATGAACACTACCCAGACATAATGCACAGCTTAGAACAGTGGCCATACATTGTGTCTCTTGGAGCTAGCCCTCAGGTTCAACAAGGCTATTTAAAAAAAAAGATCTTGGAGCAAGCCCAAACTTGTCAGATCTGGTCTACACCTAGCTCTCTATATTGCGACCATTTTTTTTAGTATGGGCGAGTGATACAAATATTTATACCTTGTAAGAGTAATTAGGGAAACCTGACAATTTCAATTTCATTAGCTGAATGGTCTGAAATTTAGAAGCACACAAAGGCTTAAGTTGTTCTTCTACCCAAAATATATTGGATAGGGCTCAGTGCTTTCAACTCAAACTAGACATACTGTAAATGCAGTAGGCTATCTTTGTGATCACATAGCACAACATTGAGAAACCTTAATCAGGGACATAAGAAGAGCCCGCTGGATCAGGCCAGTGGCCCACCTAATTCAGCATCCTGAACTTGCAGTAGCCAAGAGCTGTGGGAAACTTACAAGCAGGATCCGAGAACAAGAGGAATCTTCCCTCTAAACCACCCCCCCTTCAATTAAAATTTGTCAGTCTTGGTCATATTTCCTGGTGATATTACCAAGATTTCCTAGTCTTCAGGTTGAGACGAAATTTTTCATTTATTTGTTAAGAAATGAACATTCTTTTTTAAAAAAATTGTTGGTATAGTGCAGGTGGTTGAGAAAAATAGTTGAGCCGAGGACTTCCGGGGTGGCGCCATCGGCAATGGCGGATTCCCTCTGAACTGGAGGGACCAGCTCCACGGGAATCGGGTCTTTTCCGCTACGGAGAAGCGGGGACCCATTCAAAAATCACAGGCGGATGAAGCCTGTGACCATGGGACTCGGCGGGCACCCTTAGCGCCCCCCCAACCCGCAAAAGAACCCATTAACGGGCTCCGGAGCGAAGAGGGGGAAGTGGCGCGGTGCTGAGAGTCAACTGCTTCTTCCGTGGAGCGAAGCCGCACAGCCGTTGCCGGAGAGTGCTGCCTTTTTCCTGGGACAATCTGGCTTCTAAAATAATCACCCGTGAGTACCTAAACTCGGACAATTGGACTCTAAATAAGGACTTGTGAGCAGAAAGGAAAATTGGACTTAAAAGTTTACCTTAATTTGGCGCTGAAACGGGAAGGTCTAAACAGGAAGTCAGCCTTCCGTTTCTTTGTAGATAGATTAAAGCAAAGACATGGCAAACTAGAGCTCAGAAAATCGCCTGTAAAAGATTAACTTTCATCATTTAAAATTGTTGAACCCCCTTCGGAAGCAGGAGAAGAGGGGGGAATTTTACGGACTGTTTAAACCTGCAGAAGTGAGGGTAAAGTAAAGTAACTTTCCACCGTCCTGATCCTGGAGCGGGGTGTTAGGACTGACGTTTTTCGAAGCTCATTGACCAGAGACAATGTTTTTGACAGATAGCTATAAGAAGAGAAACATTGACTCCATTGTTCCCCTTTGCTTCTTAAAGGAACAAATATTGACAAAATATCTGAAAAAGGAAACTTTGTTGCTAGACTTGTCTTTAAAAGAAAGAACAAATAGAAGTTTCCCCCCTAGAGGGAGACTGTGAAACTGTAACCAACTCCGGGGAGCTTGCAGCTGTTACAGATTACAATCGTGGGAATAGACATCTGACCTTGCAGGACAATGTATTCAGAAGCTCTGTTGTGTGCTTTCTATAAAACAAATGCCCTACTGGAACAGCTACATGAGAAGACGAATTTGATGGCTGATTCAATTAGAAATTCTGAACAGGCAGTGGGAAATTTTGAACAGGCAGTGGGAAAATATGTGGAGCCTACCCAGGAATTAAATCAGGAGTGTGCCCTGACAGAACAGGCCCAACAGGAATATGAACTTTCGTATTTGACAAATGAACTTGGAAAAAGCCAGATTTGGAAAGAAAAAGTTTGGTTTGGTTTGGAAATGGGGGGCTGGATAGACCCCCCTATGCAGGGATGTTTGGACTTTTCAAGTCTGGCAATGGGCCGTGAGATGTTTGGGATTGTGGTGGCTCCTAATTTTGGAGGGATTTTGAAACATGTTCTTAAATACCACATGGAATTTAGTGTCGATTATGGAAAAGGGGCTGATCTGTCGAGAAGGGTCAAAAATATTGTTAAGCTGGAGTTCCCACGAGTGAAACGAACAGGAGACAAGGGAAAATACAGTTACAAATCTGAAGAAGAGCTGCGGAAGGGACATGGAAGAGACTTAAGGGCCTCGGATATAAGGTTACCAGGTTAATGCGCTAGATCGATGGGATAATAAGGACTGACAAAACCCGGGACCAGGAGGAAGGGACGCTGGATGAAGATTGGATTGTTTTTATTTCTTTTTTACTACTAGGATTGTTTTATAAAATTGATGAATGTTAGAAAAATGTTGGAATGAAATTACTTGGCTTTAGTTAAAATGTTTAAAGAATTATGTAAGAATATTATGGTTATGAGAAGTTGGTAAAAATAAGATTTAAGTTTTAAGTTTCAATGTTTTTTATAGTAAGATAAGATTAAAATAGTTTAAGGTAATGTAATGACAGAATATTATGAAATATGGAAAGGATTTGCTGCGACAATTAACAACTAGGATACAAAAAAAGGGGGGAGGAGGAGGTCAAAGAAAGAAGGTAATGACAGTTGAGGATTTGGGAATAATGGATTTGATTTTAAATGTTTTTAAATGTTTGTGGTGTATTTTTGTTTTTGTTTTTTTTGAATTTGTATTGTTGGATGTGGTTTGTTTTTTTTCTTTGTTCTTTTCCCCCCCTTTTTCTACTTTGTTTTCTTTTGTAACTTTAAAAAAAAAATTTCCAATAAATATCATTTAAAAAAAAGAGAGAGAGAAATAGTTGAGCCATTGATGCTTTGAGAAATGTTTTTATGGAGTAGCTTGGCAATCTGAGATTATCCATAAACTCATATTTTATAATACAGGTTTTATAGCTTTTCTGATGACAAACATAAGCAATGAGTGCAACCCTGTGCACATTCCTATGGGAGTAGCCCCCTTTTGACTTGAATCAAAATAAACATTCAAATTGTTGTGTATTGCATATCCTAAAACCAGTACTTTGTAAACCACTTAGAAGGGTTTTGTTTTGACAATTGCCGTATTTTTTGCTCCATAAGACGCACCTAGTTTTTAGAAGAGGAAAGCAAGAAAAAAAATACAGAGCATGCGAGGGACAATATCCCCCTCCGTGCTGGCTCCTGGCTGATCTCATGCAAGTCACAGAGCCCGTCGGACAGAGGGAACTCTAAATAGGTTGTTCTAAAGCCCTCTTCCCCCGCCTCGCCTCTCCCCACCTGCTTGCGCGGGCGCCGCCATTAGGACACTCGCACGGGTGGCGTGCCACGCCCCCCTCACTCCAGAAACCAAAGCCCCCAGCTCCGCCGCTGCCAGGGACCACACATTCACTCCATAAGACGCAGAGACATTTCCTCTTACTTTTTAGGAGGAAAAAAGTGTGTCTTATGGAGCGAAAAATACGGTAAGTGGTGTATAAATGTTATGAAACAAATAATTAAGAATACTAAGTTGTTACATTTCCCCAAGGTTTTCTACAAAACTGTGCTGTCCCTTGACACATTTTTTTTCCTTTCCTCTTCATAGTACAAGGATGCATTTATGAAAGCAAATCCTGGCTACAAGTGGTGCCCACCTACAAATAAACCTGTGAAAACCCAGTCATCTACTGTTACTAACCGGAAAAAGCTGTGGGCTTTCCCATCAGAACCTGCAAAAGATTTGCCAAGTCCAAAAAAGTTAGTGAAGACAGAAGAAATGCCTCAGCTGAATTTCGCAATGGCAGGTTCGTTCGAGATCTCTGTTGACATCAAGTCCCAAGTCTCTGGCCTACAGTATGTGACTGAATCAGGCCTAGAAGTCAGAGGTTTCAACTAGATTGTACTGTATTTCATTAGAGTCAATGGGAATATTTGTTTTATTATAATCATGTACAGTGGAACCTTGGTTTTCGAGCATCCCGGAAGCTGAACAATTCAGAACCCTAACACTGAAAACACAGAAGTAATTGCTTCCATTTTCAAATGCACCTCGGAAGTCATTTTTTTCAATGGAATTTGCCAACCACCCATTGATCCTCGGTTTTCGAATGATTTGGAAGTTGGAACAGTCTTCCAGAACGGATTACATTCGAAAACCCGAGGTTCCACTGTGTTATTAAAATGGGTTGATTCCTGCAATCATTTTGTAATAGGATGCTATAGGGTTGTAGATATCTTTGAAGCTGTTACTCTTTTGTAAAACATGCCTTCTATATATTTTAATGAGTTATAAAATATATAGTCAGTGGAGCCCCTCATTCTAGTAATGACTTCAACATTTGATCCTGTTATGGTACATTTGAACCTCTTATGGTACAATGTTCACACAGTACAAAATACACAGTCCCTGTTGTGACTGCCTTCCTGGCTATGGGATGGATACAAACAGAATTAGTCATGACTTTAAGTCCCATGATTTCAGAACTGACTGTGACTAATTACTCAGTGGATCCAACGCTGTGTATACATGTATAGATAGTACCTGTCGCATTTTCCTGCATGATCATAGATGGATCATATTGCTGCAACTCTTCCTACCTAGGGCTCTTTTAAGCTACTTAAATCAGCTTAAGTTAGATGTTTTGAGCAAAAAATTATACATGAGACATTTCTTGTGTCTTTAATAAGTAATTTCCAAATACTGAAAATATGTTTAACTTCCAATAGCTGCATAGGTAGCGGCACTGGGCATAAATCATGTTTTGCTTCACTGTTAATATCGAATGGATCTCGGGAAGTGAAAGACTCACGATGAGTCTAACCAAATACAAGTTACAATCCATTTGAAAACACAGTCCATTGTGATTGGAGGGAAGGTGTATTTTTGAGTGGCAGGATCTAAAGATACATGTTGCAGGTGATGGTGTGCAAGACTCTGCTTCAGCCGAGAAAGCGGGGGTGGAGCAATGCCTTTTTCAGGCATTCTATCTTAATTTCATGGGGCTAGAAAGTGGAGCCGTGTGCCCACTATCACATGCCCACCAGCCCTTTCCTCCTCCTCCGCATTGGCGGAGACATCTGAGGGGAGCATGCTAATTGCATGGGGTTCTAAACAGGGAAACCTATATTAGTTTTCATTGAGTCCCATTGTCAAACTTCCCTTCCCAACATGGGGGAGAGAGAGACTTGAGTGTGATCCCGTGCAATCCCATAGTCTTACTTCAAATAGAAATCATAGAATTGTAGAGTTGGGAGAAACCACTTGGGTCATCTAGTCCAACCCCCTGCAATGCAGGAATTTTTTGCCCAATGTGAAGCTCAAACCCACAACTCTGAGATTAAGAGTTTCATGCTGTACCAACTGACAGTTGTATGCAGGAGGGTGTATATTGTGTATATTGTCTGCACTTTATTGTAACACTTAAAAGTTACCAGCACTAGACTGAGATTTTCTGAAAAGAGTGACTTTATGAATAGCTTATCATGATATTATCAAGACTTCCTTCCCACTCCATTTTTTTAAAAGATATATATTGGAGGGGGGAGGGTTGATTCCTTTTAAGTAGTCTTTCTTAAAAGATGTAATCTTTATAGTTGCTTTCAGTGCTGTGGCTCAGTATGTTTAAGACCCGCTCAAGCTGGCTCCAAAATAAAACATTTTTATCAATATATTTTTATTCTCTGATAGATCCTACACAAATGGGAGGCCTCAGTATGCTACTGTTAGCAGGAGAACATGCCTTGACTGCACAAGAGGTAAGCAGCTATCTTGTCTGCTTCATCCTTTCATTAATGCAATGCATGTTTGACAGATATGTATAGTAATGTAACTTCTGCTGACAACTATTTGATAGGTTTTGTATCTGCAGTCAGTGACACAGTTTTGCCATTCTGTAGCTATAGAACCTAATCATTTGTGCCAGTTGTACAATGTGAAACACTTTGGTGTCAAGTACAGTGGTACCTCCAGTTGTGGACAGGATCCGTTCCGGAGCTCCGGTCGGATTCTGAGGTTTCCGCAACTGGAGGTGCCTGTTCTACGCGCGGCGCGATAGAGCACTACTGTGCATGTGTGCATGCGAAACCCAGAAATAAACTTCCGGGTTTGCCGCGTGTGTATCCCGAAGGATACGTAACAAGAGGGGCACGTAAGCAGAGGTACCACTGTATTGCAGAATCAAGTCCTTTATAGCTAAAGAGTTTCTAGTAAAGAGGAACTATAATCAAGAGGATGTATCTTGAGTCAAACTGTCTGTGAATGTAAACAGTTCTGTGAACTTAGAAGTCCCACCCTTGAGAGCAAAATCCATTTACCGTATTTTTTGCTCTATAAGAGTCACTTTTTCCCTCCTAAAAAGTAAGGGGAAATGTGTGTGCGTCTTATGGAGCGAATGCAGGCTGCACAGCTATCACAGAAGCCAGAACAGCAAGAGGGGTTGCTGCTTTCACTGTGCAGCGATCCCTCTTGCTGTTCTGGTTTCTGAGATTCAGAATATTTTTTTTTCTTGTTTTCCTCCTCCAAAAACTAGGTGCGTCTTGTGGTCTGGTGCGTCTTATAGAGCGAAAAATACGGTACATTGTATATCGTCTGATACATATTTGTCCTTCTGCCATTTATAATTTGAATACCATAGAGCAGTGATGGCAAACCTTTTAGAGATTGAGTGCCCAAACTGCTACTCAAAACCCACTTACCGCAAAGTGCCAACACGGCAATTTAACCGTATATCTCATTTTTTCTGTGTGTTTCACGTTTCTTCTTTATGACTGCTGTTGTAATAAATAATCCTTCATAAAAGTTACTGCATTAAATTATCTTTCTATTGATGTATAATTCTGTGGTATAACTCAGTGCTTTTTTCAAAAAGTATGTTTAGGGGTACACTCAGTTTTACTCAAGAAAAATCACCACCGGGGGAAAAATAAATACAGTTCAAATTGGGGAAAATAAATACAGTGAAATTCATCTACCGTTAAATTCACAAAATGTTCAGAGGTATGCGTCCCTTTGCGTCCCCACAGAAAAAAAGCACTGGTATTACTCCAGAGCAAAGTGGTGTTATGAGCCATCAAACCTTGGAAATACAGAAGGTTTCACAATTTTGGCCACTAGTGCACACTGGAGGGCTGTACTAAGAGCCACCCTCTCCCAATCTTTAATATAAGATAATAATGATTGTCTGCGTGCGCACATACAAATATATATAAATAAATAAACCCAGCCAAATGGGTGGGGTATAAATTTATTATTATTATTATTATTATTATTATTATTATTAGCTATTTTTTTGGCTGCCGTTTGATGGCTTACCCCATGGAATGAATTTTTCTGTTGGCTTCTGCAGGAAAGCCCAGAGAACATGTAAACCCAGCAGCCCCTTCTTACGTTGCCGTCTTGATATGCTTACTGATCTGGGAGTTAAGCCCTGCTGAACTCAAGGCAGCTTACTCCTGAGTTGGAAAAAACAGACTGGCAGAAATCAATGCCTGCTCAGCCCCTCGTTTGCTTGCCAGACCCTGGTGCCGCAGGCTTTGGACGGCACATGCAAGCCCCCCCCCCCGGCATGAAAGCTACTGCCCTGCTGGGGCAATGGCATGCGTGCCCACAGAGAGGGCTCTGAGTGCCCTTCTGGCATGCGTGCCAAACGTTCGCTACCACTGCCATAGAATATTTAGAATAATGTGGCGGAATATTTGGTAGTGTTATTTTAAATGCAAAAAGCATTTAAAAATATAGTTTTGTTGTTGTTTAGTAGTTCAGTCGTGTCCGACTCTTTGTGACCCCATGTAAAATATAGTTTACATGCTATTAAATGCTGTTAGATCCCACTTTCCTAATCAACACAAGTAACTCAAAGCTACTTAAAATACCGTTGTAACAAATAATTTTAAATATACTATCTCAGTAATATTTACTTGACTGCTGCTAAGGTGTTGTATCATTACCGTATCTCCCATTTTACAAGTGCGGGTTGGGACATTGCCTATACGGCAGCACACTTGAGCTTAGAATCAGGAGTGTTGGGCTCACAGCTCATGAAGTTCACCACCATACCACAGCAGCTCAGTTTAAAGTAGCCATCTGCCTGTTTACATTTCTCCAGCTTTGCAATACAAAATGTATTAAATCTGGCAGCTTTTAGCACATGTTTAATTTCTGTAAGAAGTAAAATGTGATTTTGTAATGGTAGTGGCAAAAGGGTATCGTGGTTCAATATAAACACAAGAAGATTTTGTAGCGTCTTGTGCTTGCTTCAATCAATCAATCATTTATTTTTTGTTTGCTTGTTTGTTTGTATGCCATGTTTCCAAAGTTAAAACATGTTCAAGGTGGCTTACAAAGTATTTTAGAAATTACAGCACTACAAAGATAACTAAAGTAGTCATAAACAAAACATCAAAAAGTACACAGACTGAACAATTTCCACATAAATCATAAGATCCAAAATAAAGATACAAAAAGATGACAGCAACAGCCCCCATAAACAACAAAACTCCATAAACAATGCCCCAGCCCAAGATTCTGTTTGGCAGCTTCAGCTTTTATAGCTGGAGTCAACCAGGCCTTGCCTCTCAGGCCAGGTGGGAAAAGGCCTACAAGGCAGGGAGTAGATCTTCCAGGGCTCAAAGCCAAGATGATGATGATGATGATAATGATAATGATAATGATAATGATAATGATAATGATAATGATAATAATTTATTTATACCCCACCTATCTGGCTGGGTTTCCCCAGCCACTCTGGACGGCTTCCAACAAAATATTAAAATACAATCGTCTGTTAAACATTAAAAGCTTTCCTAAACATCCTTCAGATGTCTTCTAAAAGTCTGGTAGTTGTTTTTCTCTTTGACATCTGATGCGAGGGCATTCCACAGGGCGGGTGCCACTACCAAGAAGGCCCTCTGCCTGTTCCCTGTAACTTGGCTTCTCGCAATGAGGGAACTGCCAGAAGGCCCTCAGCGCTGGACCTCAGTGTCCAGGCAGAACTATGGTGGTGGACATGCTCCTTCAGGTATACTGGACTGAGGCCATTTAGGGCTTTAAAGGTCAGCACCAACAATTTGAATTGTGCTCGGAAACATACTGGGAGCCAATGTAGGTCTTTCAAGACCAGTGTTATGTGGTCTCGGCGGCCGCTCCATAACTTTTTATGGACTACAGGCCACTTCATCAGATGAAAATTATGTGAATAACTTGCTGATCTGTGGGGACAGGGGAACATTTGCAAACCTAAGATTTAACTTGAATCATTTTACATGTAGCTTGTCCTTCATTTATTCAAATACCAGGTGCAGAGTATAAACCAAAGAAACCAGAACAGTAAGCCATTCTGAACAAATAAAGACTGCTAAAAACAGCATAATAAGCGAATCAGCAGCTTAAAATGCCTGGGCAAATAAATAAGTGTTAACCTAGTGCTGGAACAATGACCACATCAGCCAGGCAGACTTCTGAGTGGAGGGCATTTGTGGCAGCTTATGTAGCCATAATGCCATGAGTAGGAAGTAACATGGTGCTTGTTAAGCCCTTGTTTGCAAGCCTGGTGTGTCTACCAGCCATTCTGACAAATTTCTTATGAGAAATCCACTTTCACAGCTCCTTCCCAAAACATTCTGGGCAGACATTTGGCTGGCAAGTGAAGCATGCAGTGGTAAAAAAAAACCCTTTTCATTTTCTTCAAAGAATAATCAGGCAGACATTAAGGAGGCAGTGTGTGTTTGAGTGTTAAAAGCAGACAGAAGGCCATGTTTGCTATCCTTTCTTTGCATTTAATAATACGTATTTCTTAAGGCTTAATCTGATTGCATTAATGATATTCATCTTCTCAAGAGTTGTATTAACAGTTGTTAACTACGCTGAATTTTTAGGAATCTCTTATTGCCTCATGATGTGAGTGTGAATGCGTTATATCGTGTCCCAGCCATGAAAATGAAATGTAGAATCAATGCTGGTGTTTGCACACTTGTTAAGTGTCAAGTATGCCATTATACTCTTAGAACAGATTGTATTACATGATTTTATAGGGCATTTTTCTGTATTTAGCTCATCACAAACTAATTTTTCCCTTAATGAATGGATGGACAAATGAAAGGTGATCTCTTATTGTCATTTCTTACTTGGTTCTTCCCTTCAGTCTTTAGCGCTTTCCATTTTTCTGCATACTACACCAGTGGCTGCTTTGTGCTGGCAATGCTTCTAAAAAGGCAAATGGCGACTCGTTTGCATATGTACCTGCCTGCCTGCAGGGAAGCATCTAATGCCCATCCTTCCCATTTCTGATCTCTTTTTCATTTTAAATTCTGTGGCTCTTTCCATGCTCCTTATTTTACACGTATTTCTCTATCCCTTATATTTTCTAAAATTGGCTTCTGTTTCCCTAAAGCATTCTGTTTAAATTTCTTTTGGCTCACAGTGCTTTTGTACACTTTCTCCTCCTTAACTTTTCAGTTCTTTCTTTCTCTTTGCTCCTTCTTTTCCCGTTATGTACTTCTAATCAAACCCAAAACCTGACTATTACTTTTCATTGTTGCTTTTATCTGTTGTTATTCTACAGCTCTGGAATGCACTGGCTACATGGAATGTGCTCCCTATCGATATTCAAGCAGCTCTGCCAATTTTGGTTCTTAAACAGCTTCTAAAGAGCAATCTGTGCTCTGAGGCTTTTCCCTGCTCATTAATCCTTCCAGGTTTCCCTTCCTCTTGTGACCATTTCCACCCCCTCCACTTTTTTTGTCTGATACATTGTAAGCCTCCAGGCAGGGTTTGTCATTACTTTTATCTCTCCTATGCCATTTTGATTTGAAAGTGCTTTAGAAATAATAATATATGCGCACACCACTTAGCAGTAAAAGCCTGCAACTCACAGGCAGGCCCCTTTCTGATTGACACACGAAGCAGAATGTAGTCCCTAAAGTTTCCCCCCCAATAATCTTTGTTTCAGATTTCTTCAAGTACATGCCATTCTGATGCATCCAATTCTACTGAAGGATGTCTAAAGTCGCCGTTGTTTCAATTTGCTGAGGTGAGCTTTTTCTAATTTCTGGGTTTTTTTCTTTTTTTAATAAATAAAAAAAGAGCACTAAAGGCTTTCAGATAAGCTCCAAAAATGCTTTAGTTAATTTATCATCCATTTGAGCAGTGGTCACATACATATTTACCTGAGGATCATGGGTGACTTCCGCATCTTTAATGGCACTTAAATATAGTTAATTAATTAAATGCTTTACATGATGCATTGCATTAGGTAGGCATTCTTGAGCAGAAGAAAGAATATCTTTCATATATTTAGTAGAAAGCATCCTGAGGCCAAAAATGTGCCAGCTAAGGACATATTTATTTAATTAGCAGCTATAATGGATGCCCTCTTCAGGCATCAGATCTTGACAAGCTTCATCAGGTGACTGTTCAGGTTAAAGTGTAGAAACACTCTTTTCAGTATTAAGTCAAGGTCAGCACCATCCATTAGCATATTAGATAGATAGATCGTGCCCTCGTATGTTGTCAAATCCTGTACTGTCAAATCCTAATCATCTTTCAGCATATAACCGAGGGCCAAAGTCACAAATCCATTTTTTGAACATGTAAGCAGCCTTTAGCATCTCCAGATACATGCTCATTGGTGAAGGTAGTGTATGAACCAGGCATTCAGTTCTCATTCTTACAGAGCTGCTCCTCTTCAGGGAGGGGTGGGGTTGCGTGCATGCTTCGCGCTTTCCCGCCCTCAGCGGGGGGTGGTGTCGAGACCCCCACATCACTGGGGAGTTCCGGCGCGCATCACGACCACAGTCAGCCAATCTGGCTGGCGGTGGGGGTGTGGCTAGCCACATTTAAGCAGCTGCGTGGCCGGGAGCTCCTCCTTCTGCTCCAAGCTTCCACGGATTTCCTGCCCTCCCTCCCTTCTTTCGTTTATCACCTTGACCTTGCTATGGACTTCAGTCGGTTGCCTGTTGAAGCGGCCTGGTAGGAATTTTCCCACTTGGCAGATTGGCACCAGCCACTTGGTTTTCGCCTACCTCGTAGCAGATCGTCACAACTTTATAAGGTTTGGCGGTTAGGCATTGGAAAAGCTTGGTTTATGGGAGGGGAGGTTGTGGCCATCACCTACCCCTCCCCTTTAAGGGTATTCCGTTAAAGCAGCCTTTCTCAACCTGTGGGTCCCCAGATGTTGTTGAACTACAACTCCCATCACCCACTAGCTAGCAAGGCCAGAGCTCAGGGATGAGGGGAGTTGTAGTCCAACAACGTCTGGGGACCCACAGGTTGAGAACTGCTGTGTTAAAGGAACCCGGAAGTGGTTCCTGTCCGAAGCCCGGGTAGAGCCTAGGGCCATGGCACGACCTTTCCTGTGACCCTGGGGGAGACCAAGTTGATGTACATCAACAGGGCTCCCCCTACAGGTGGTTGACCATTGTAAGACTTCCTGCGTGGCAGGCAGGAGTCAGATATAGTCTGTTCGGGTCCAATGCCCAAAGCCAACACCACTCACATTCTGTAACCAATAAAAGCTGTGGCCTTTTTTCATCCCATTAACCTAAAATACTTGTGTCCACGTGTTTTTATTCACCAAGGGAGGGGGTGTGGGGCCTTGACGTGCAACAGTACCATTTCCAGCTGCTATGAGTACAGGACTTGCTACAGAGTATATTATTTCCTACATATTAGACACAACCCAACAGACATTGGTCATGACTAAATCCCACTGAAATAAATAGAACTTGAATTCGTTGCACCAAAACCCCCACTCCTTTGTTTTTGATGTCTTTAGTTGTGGATAATTTTTTCTGGAAGCTGCTCATTGCATCGGCCCATGAAAGTGGGTACCTGGTCAAGGAATGTGTGAACTGTGACCCTAAGGTGCTGGTGGAGCCCCATTAAAATGTTCAACCCAAGCACAGTTATATAAATTCAATCTGAAACACAGTTACTAAGGATTAAGCACCACTGAATATACCATCACCATGGGTGGCAACGCAAGAGGCGATGCAACAGGAGACCTGTGGAGCCAATGTGAGCACCACTCAGTGATGTAGCAAGCAATGTAGTATTCACAATTATGTAGCTTTTTCTCAGAAAAGCTCAGTAAGAGATTAAGATGCGACCGAAGAAGAGAATACAAACATCAAAGTATAGAGAGTACCCAATTTTTTTACCCCCAAATATTATTTTAATTAGAAGCCATTGTTTCTAATAGATTTTTTTTCTCATCTGATATCAGAATACCAAGAATGTGTGGATAGTTGGCACAATCCAGCCAAGATTAAGCACTTTTAAAACACCAATTATTTTCAATGGGTGAGTTAAGTATGTAATTTTAAGCCCCGTTGATTTCAATTTGAATGTTAAGCATGTGTTTAAATCTTACCTGTTGAAATCAATGGAATGTAAAAGTGTTTCACTTTGACTGGATCGTGCTCATTATTGTCCTGAAAACAATCCAGAATATCATAGTATTCCAAATTTTCATGGACATTTTTGACCAGATAGTTAAGATTGCTGTTAACAAGTTTCCAGCTAGCACATTTGAACATCTCAGCGGTGAAAAATGAAGCCAGAATCATAAGGCTCTCATTTAAAACTTCCTTGTAAATAGGTTTCTTTGAAATCAGTGGGGTTTATTTCCAACTAGTCAGTTCAAAATAATATTGCTTATTTTAGTCTGAAAATTCTGATTTCTTGTACAGTTCTTTCAGCATGGTACTGATCATTTTGGTGCTTTGTATGCAATTAGTGTGTCAGGTGAAATGCTTAATTTGCGTCTGTCAATGCAAGGGATCAAAGCCTTTGGCTTAGCTCCAAGCCGTGTGATACTTTATTTAATATTACCATTGTGACTTTTCATTGTTTTATTTTGTTGCTCTGATTATGGCAGAGGTTTCCCTATGAAAATGATGCTTGTATTTTTCATAGTTTGTCATTTACAATCCATTAGAAAAGTAACTTATTCATACCACTTTGTGTCCTGAAGAGCGACAAGTTTTGCCATTTCTGCGGAACATGAAAATCAGATTTGGCTTAAACACGGTGTTCTAATGGCTTTTTTTTTTTAATGTGCCCCCCTCCCAGATTTCTTCAAGTCCATCACAACCAGATGCCCCTGCAGATTCAAAAGAAAGTGAGGAATCAACACTATTTCAGTTTTCAGAGGTATGACAAATCTGACTTTAAAAAAAATAGAAATACAGTGTGATAAAGCAAGATGGCTTCAAATGTTGCCGTCCTTCTGAAGTACACAAGCATATAACAAATAGTTTCTCCAGCAGGTTTAATTTTTATAATGTGCTAGATACAACTGATATGTGGAAGTACATAGCAATGCCTCCTTCAGGGAAGTAGGATTTTCCCCACAGAATTAGGCTGGAGACTCTCTGCGTGCAGTCATCGTGGGACAACAAGAATGAGCCCAACAAGGGGCTGCGTTCACACATTATGGTAAACCATAGTTAATGTTATACTGGGAACTGTAAGTTGGCTCCTACTTGGCTCCTCCATTGGCTCTGGTGGGTACAACAAACCATGATCCCTGGTTTATTGTTACATCTGAATTAGGGATTGTGGTTTGTTTTACTCCCCCAAAAACACAATCAGGAAGCCAATGTTTGTTTTTGGATCATGGTTTGTTGCTCCCACTTGTTTTTAGGAGAGGAGAGGTTTTCCACCTTAGTATGACTTCTTATGAGACTGCTGTAGAGCTTCTTTCAGTGCTAAGGCTCAGCTGGGAAAGAAATAAGGTAGTAGTAATAAAAAGAGTGTACACAGTGTGCTTTCCCTATTATCACTGAGTAACTTAAACTAGCAGTTATTTTTTGGGAGGAGGAGCACACTTGTCAGAAACTATGAATTCAGATAGACATGAGCCCCAGCACCTTTCAATTAAGAAGATCCTTAACGTAAAGGAGGTGGTGGGAAAGATCAAAACACTTCAGTAAAATACAAGATTCTTCTTCTCACAGGTGCCTTCAAGTCTCTATCCTACCTTCAAAATGCTGCCTGTGTTCTAACCCCCTGCCCAAAAAAGCGCCTTCACACCAATCTGTTTATTGGGATAAATAGGTGTAAATCAGTATAAGGCAACTGCTTTGATTGTGGGGAAAGGCATCATACCTATGTCATTCTCATCCCTTTTCTTAATTGCAACAATTAGTATTTCTAAAGTCCTTAAATTTCTTGATCAAAGGATCAGTGGTTTTGCTTGGTTGTGAAGGGGGAGGTTCTATGGCAGTGATGGGGAGCCTCCCACGATCCCAATTAGATCCTACATGTCATGTTCTGGTGCGATGCTGGATTTCATGGAGAAGGAGGCAAGGCATGACAAGCCAAGGCCCCTTTGTGATTAACTAGATTCTTAAAGCCCCTGATCTAGAGACAGGCACTCCTTTGTTCCCTAGCCTACTGCCTTACATGCTTCCTGCACTGCTTGAGGTCTTGGGAAGGCATTTCGTTACTCCGCCTTAATGGAAGGTACCTGTGAAGGTTCCGACTCTGACCCTGTTGATAAAGGAGGTTCTTCCTGATTTTACATGTTCTCAGGCTCGGTTGTTTCCTGATCTCTATCAGCAGACTTGGAGCCCTGCACCTGGTCTGGCTCCTTAGCTGGCAAGTCTTCAGCCTCTGACGCAGGAGTCTTGATTGCTGCCAGCCTCTGGGGTCATGACACTAAAGGCCTCTGGATTTGGCGCACGAAACTGTTTGGGGCAAACTATGCAACCTTTCCCATAGTTCAGTCTGCAGCTGCAGAGTGATGATTGACAGGAGCAGCTTTGGAAACACCTGGGATATGACATCAAGCAATTGATAGGGGAGCAGCAAAATGGCCACGGAGAGTTAGCCATAGAAGTGGCTCCCCATCCCTGTTCTTTGGGCTGGCAAGGAATCTTCCTTGTAGGGTGTCCTTCATCCTTTGCACAGACTTGAGCTTCTGTACAGTACAGCCTTGTAGCTGTATCTCTCATTAGCCAAGCCTACATCATCGTTAAACCAAAGGAACAGTATACTGAGATCGCTGCCTGTGATTTTCATCCCCCTTAGCTTGACTATATAATGTAGCTATTCAAGGCACAAAACTAAAATATCTTAAGTTTAAATAAAAAATCAGTTCTGGGATGAATTTGCTTCTGAATAGCAATATCCCAGGAAATGATAAAGTAACCTCTCATAGCCTCAGATGTCTGTCAATGCCTATGAATTCTGCGACAGAGCACTTCTCTCGTCATTGCCGGGAACTGCTGCAGCAGAGGCAGCGAAGGAAGCTTCAGCTATACACACATTTCTCTTCTTTGTGTTACGATCATGAATTTAGTAGGCTGCGAAGATATGTAGCACACAGTTTGGTGGCTTACTATGAAGCTTGGTGCTAGTGCAGTGTTGCAAGTCCTGGTGTTAGGTATATGCAGTGCTTTTTTTCTAAAAAAAAAAGTTTAGGAGTACTCTCATTTTCCTACTCATATTGAAGTGCTGCTGCTCAATGAGGCCAAACTTAAATTCAAAAAATGTTTAAGGGTTTGCGTACCTCCAGGAGAAAAGCACTGGGTGTATGTAACTTACACAAGATGTGACACTAGAGCAGCACTGCCACAAACCGTTCTGCTGACACCCACATCCAACTGTGCTCGGGGTTCCAACCCTTCATTTGAGGCCCCTACTCAACATTCAAGCATTGCTTCTCTCTGTTAATCACAGAGCACAAGATGGGGGTGATTCCAGTATTGCCACTTCTTCTTTGTGCTCCGTTCCCATGATGCTCCAGAAACATGTATATATAAGTGATGGAGAAGGGGAATGAGGAACAGGATCATAGAATTGTAGAGTTGGAAGGGACCCTGAGGTCCTCTAGTCCAAACCCGTGCAATGCAAGATGACATGGTTACTTATTGCAGCCGCCTTAATTTGGGCCAAGGGCAGTACTGCAGCAAGCACAACATCCCAGACCCACATTTGCCTGGATAATGCAATTGTGGGCATAGGAGGCAGCATTTCTGGGTAAGAATCAGAATAGATAGGTGCTTAGCCCTCTCTATGGCTGTGTTCACATCTCATAGTAAACCATGATTAATGTTTAACTCTGGTTTACTATGAACAAGCAACATGGTGGTGCATGCTACTCAAAAGTCCTTGCTCCACTCCTGGCAATGTTGGGAGCATGACTAAGGGGATATTTCCCACAACAAACCCAGACTAGGGAGGTTATTTCCCACAAACGCACCACAAAAACCAACCTTTCCCAACCACCTTTTATTTTAATCATCAAATTATACGTAATAAAATACCTTTTAAAATATTTTAAAGCATATTGGTAGCTACACTAAAATAAAGCCGTTCCCCATTTCAATTATAAATAAAAACAAAGCTAGAAGGATATCATATATCCAAACAGTCAATACTTTGTGAATCCATGATGACAATTAGGTGAAAAAACCTGTTTTCTTTTACAGTAATCAATACACTTTTGCCACTTTACCAAAAACTTACCTTGTCTCGCTTCTCATTCTTGATATCTTAAAAAATGTGTTCTTAGCCATAGTTGCATACTACCATTTTTTGTCTCTCCATTCTTTAATTGTTGGTGTTTTATGTGATTTCCAGTATTTGCATAGACCATTCTAGCCACAAGATAAGAAACAAGTTCCCTACATTCTGAGATAACTTACTGTTTTACATAATTTAAAAGAAAATGAGCAAAATGAAACATTGTATCTTAAAATATTTACCACTTGGGTTTTAAAATCATTTTCCATTTTTTAAAGGGGAAAAAAAGCATCTCTCTGCCACATATGGGGAGAATCTTTCTTTTTATTCTTCCAACATAAAGATAAATAATTTTTATTCATGTTACTTATCTTTTATGGCTTAATTTGCAATCTACTCATTATTTTACAATTATCTCTTAATTCCTACACATAAAGAGAACTTAAAAGCTACTATCAAAAGATTTTCACATATATCCATCAGGATTCTGCCCGCTGCCCCCAGTATTTTGTGCCCATTTCACAATATATTATTTTAGTTGTCCCTGTTCTGTGTCATGTTTAACCAAAAGTTTATATATCTTTGCTAATCTATGTTCTTTAATCTTCACAACTTTCTTTTCCAAATTCTGTATGTTCTCTCCTCAACCCAGTTTTCCTTTGATATTCTTGCACTAATGATCTTACCTGACAATATTCAAACCAATTAGGGGTTTTTGCCCTGCATTTTTCTTCTAACCTCTGAATATGAAACCATCCATCCTGCTTTTCTAAAAGCATTAATCCTGAATAAATTATTGTTCTTCCATGCATGAAATCCCACCTCTACATTTCCTTTTATCTGTTAATTTTTCTAAAGGAGACTTGGACATAACAAATCTTTAATAAATCAAATAACAAAAAAAATATTATTAATAGTCTTCGGTCCAAATTTCTTATCTCCCCCAAGTAAATAATGTAATAAAGTTCCTAAAATCTTTCTGAAATAACTGAATATGGTTCTTTAATCCAATCTACTAATGAGTTGAAAACAAACCTTGGCCTCAACTCATGGTTTGATTAGAAAGAAGGAAACAAACCATGAGCCCAGGATTTTATTGAGTTACTTATTTTTAATTGTTTATTTAGACCATTTCCATACCACTTAATATATAAAAATATAAGCAGTGTACAGAAAACTAAAGCAACAACAAAAGACAGCTAACAAATCTTAACAAAAAAACAGACTGTTTCATATGCAAAAGTTGCGTAATACAAACTGCTAATAAACATAAACTAGTATCAGTTCATTCTCCTTCTGAAACAACTCACCTCTCAACCTCCATCATCTACCCAGTCTCCCAGCCATGGCGCAAACAAATACACCTTACTCACTAGATGTCATAGAGAAGAGGACATCGGGAACCTGCTGACGTTACCCTAATCTCCCACTCGAGACTTGCTTTTGCAGGCAGACACAAAGCTTCCTGAGGCTGCCCACAGCTTTGTCCCATTCAGCAAATTCCACAGCCTATAGCAGGTTTGGTGAAGGATGGGCAGTGGAGCACTCCTCCACTCACAGCTCTTTCTCCGGCCTCTGCACACTTCTCCAGCTACTTTCTTTGAGTGCCACAACAAGCAAAGGCGTGTGGTTTGTTGCTCCCAGTATGGCCAGGAATGGTGAAGGAGTGAGACTATAGCTTTTGAGCACCCTGCACGAGTGCACTGCTCCATGTTGCATCCCTGTTAAACATTAAGTATGGTTGACTATGATGTGCAAATCAGTGCCAGGGCTCCCCTGCCATTGCTTTCTCAGGTGTTGCTTCCCCTTGCTCAGATGTCCTCCTCTTTCCCCCATTTTGTGGAGAGGAACATCAGTGAGTGCATGAAAGATGAAGCATCTTCAACAGTCCGTTGGTTCTCTCCTGCAAGCTCGCCTCTCTGCATTAATCTTACAAGACCTATGTTGCTTTATAACACATTGCTGTGGTGGAAGGTACCAGCTGCCTTGAACAAGTTTTAGAAGTTGGTGCAGCAACCCATAGGATTAATTTTTTTAAAACGTTTATACTTTTCAGATATATACATTTCACTGATTTCACAATCATTTTGACATTTTAAAACTTGACTTCCTTCCCCCTCTTTCTGCGGTTCCTTAAATTTATTTTTAATATCTTCTGCATATCCAAATTAACTTACCGTATTTTTCGCCCTATAGGACACACTGGCCCATAGGACGCACCTAATTTTGGGGGGGGGGGAATAAAGGGAAAAAATTATTTCCCCCCCAGGCGCGGGGCTGGGGCGGGGGAAGCCCGAGCTTCCCCCGACCCCAGCCCCCAGAACATGCAGCTCTCCGCAAGCCGTGGGGGCTCCCCGCTGCCCCCCGAGCTTGCGGGGCTGGCGGTGGGGAGAAGCGGGCTTCTCCCCGCCCCCAGCCTCCAAACCACGTCGGGAGACAGCTGGATGGCGGCGTTCCGCCTCCCCGCTGTCCCCCGAGCTTGTGGGGCTGGCGGTGGGGCTCTCCTGAAGCCTGGAGAGCGAGAGGGTCGTGCGCACCGACCCTCCGCTCTCAGGCTTCAGCCTACATTGCCCCATAGGACATACACACATTTCCCCTTCATTTTTGGAGGGGAAAAAGTGCGTCCTATAGGGCAAAAAATATGGTAACTTACTCATTTATTTATCTTCTTTATATATATACTCTTACATAGCTGCAGGTTATTACAATAATCATGCCAGTGTTTTTATCTGTTTACAATTTATCTGTAAATATTCAACAAACCTCAAAGGATTAAAATTAAGACGATAGCCAGAAAACTTTCTGTTTGTCTCATTATCTAATTGAGAAGTACACTTAATTCACCTCTTGAAAATGTGGCGTTACAAATTGCACTCTCAAAATTACTTTATAGCCTAAAGCAAAGTTCTCATATCTAACTGTATTATTATTTGAATTTGAATTTATATACCGCCCTAAAGCTGGAGGTCAAAGGGCGGTTCACAGAATCATTGTAGTGATTCTCCCTAGAAAAAAGTTCTTTTCGAGCCTCCTCAAGATTTTTTCATTTATGTAAAGCATGTCTCAATTGCCCAGCATTAAAAAAGAAAATCATGGTGATTACAATAAAACCCCAAAATAAATGCAAAATACAAAGTTAAAATGATAAAATTACATCACATCCATCTGCAAAACTATCAGGAACAATAGCCAACAATGTTGCTCAGAAAAGTGCTGGTTGAATAAGCAATATCCTGAGGAGGCACCTAAAAGAACAAATTAACAAAATGAAGATAAGCAGTCCAGCTGCTGGTCTATAATTGTGTCTGAAGACAGGCAGAGTAAGAGGGAAGATGCCAGCTGGGGCAGCCATCTTGCTCTTCTACTGAAGTCGCCATGCTGGCAGAAAATAATTGTTCTCTGCTATCATTGCCACAGGATAGGCTTGGTAATGAGCTTTTACATATGTTTGGTCAGACTTAGAGTGAGTTTTCTACCACTTGCATTCAACTGTCTTCCTTTCTTTTCCATTGTCCTTTGGTCTCCAGTATACCAAGGAGCTGACTAGACTTTGCAGGAAGGGAGAGCACTTTGAGAGGATTCCTGTCAATCATCATCATCATCTTATTTATTTATTTATATTTTAATATTTATAATTATATTTATACCTCACCCATCTGGCTGGGTTTCCCCTGCCACTCTGGGTGGCTCCCAACAGAATAAGAAAAGCACGATAAAACATCACACATTAAAAACTTCCCTAAACAGGGCTGCCTTCAGATGTCTTCTAAAAGTCAGGTAGTTGTTAATGTCCTTTGTTAATTTCCTTGATGGGAAGGCGTTCCACAGGGCGGGCGCCACCCCCGAGAAGGCCCTCTGCCTGGTTCCCTGTAACCTCACTTCTTGCGGTGAGGGAATCTCCAGAAGGCCCTCGGAGCTGGACCTCAGTGTCAATAATAATAGGACAAGTTTTCTTTCAAGGAAAAAAGTCCCTATAAGCTTTCAATGAAGCCCTGGCAACACATAGTGAAAACCTCTAGCCTAGAGCAGGGTTTCCCAAACTGTGGTCTATGGGCTTCATCCAGGTGGCACATGGTGTGTCTGTGGATTTGTGGTTGAAAATTGGCACATCCATCAAATTAAATGCTCATATTTATTTTTAATTGTATTTTCATCAGCTGCTCCAGCTTATCCCATTGTACAGTGGTGCCCCGCAAGACGAAGAACTCGCAAGACGAAAAACTCGCTAGACGAAAGAGTTTTCCGTTTTTTGAGTCGTTCCGCAAGACGAATTTCCCTATGGGCTTGCTTCGCAAGACAAAACGTCTTGCGAGTTCTTGTGAGTTTGTTTCCTTTTTCTTAAAGCCGCTAAGCCGTTAATAGCCGCTAAGCCGCGAATAGCCGTGCTTCGCAAGATGAAAAAACCGCAAGACGAAGAGACTCGCGGAACGGAATAATTTCGTCTTGCGAGGCACCACTGTATTCTATTGCATTGCAACACAAACTTTATGGAATTCTAACTGAAAAACAACAAAATACAACACACAAGAAAAGAAACAAATATGCTATCAAAAAATAATGCAGCATCTAGCACAGTGCATTACAATTGCTATAACAGACAAAAAAAAACCCCTCAAAAAACAGACAGAGGGTCTGCCAAGACCCTCAGCAATTTTCAACCAGGCCATGGCAAAAATGTTTAGGAACCCTGGCCTAGAGTATTCACCATTTTAAAGCACGCATTTCTTAATCAGTGAGAGAATGTAGAACAGCAAGTCTATCTACACTGAGTTTTCATAGAAGTCTGGAAGCATGAAAAGCTAGGAAACAATCAGCTGTGCATTGGTTGCTGAAAATTAGAGGGTTATCATATATTTTACAATATAAGCTCTTGTAATGTTGACTTTAGAGGCCATTCTCTGCTATAAAGCAGTCCAGAGCCATATGGAAATGTAAGAGAATCCTTTTTGTGCCAAATGAATTATCTTTGGACGTAGAACTACACTCATTTCCCTCAGGTTAGAGTGTTTGGAGAGAGCTCTGAGGACACTTCATTGATAGAAAAGATCTTGAACTTGTTCAGCAGAGTTATTCCCCCGAGTCATCCCAAACAGTACTTTGCAGAGTCACTCACATCTTTCTTTGCGAGAGAAGAGGCTGTGGTTTTCATCCTGAACATGGCAGGGTACTTGCTTTTAGATTATTCAAGAGAGGAGCGCACAAAAGCCTTATTTCAGCTACTGGAACCCATGTGTCTTTTATTAGCGCAAAGCTATCATTCCCTCTGGACATCTTTGGCACATTTTGTATGCCAAAATTACCCTTTTCCCCTCCCTTTTACACCCCCCCCAACTTTCAAATTTCCCACTGAGAAAAGTATTGCTGTACTTTGCACGCGGAAAGCAATCTGTTGCAGTAAAAATTGTACAGTGGCTGTAAACATGCAAAAAATCCAGCAGCACAACAGTCTTATGTTGCCCTGGGACCCAGAATGCCTGAGGATTCTTGGCAGTCGTCCCAGACAGCGTTTTTGTTCAGCCTGGGTGTTCTTCATATGTTTCCTTTCTCTTTATCCCTTTCACCGTAGGAGAGAATAATGTTAAGTCTTTGTGAAAGGAATGATACCATCAAGTGCATGTGTCATTCATAATGGACAACCTTTAGCCCAGGAATAAAAGTCCCCTGTCAGTCATGCATACTCCATTATACAGTATGACACTCTTCACTGTCATCTCCATATGTTTATCACCCCTTTGCTTACCCAGTGGCTGTGTTGTTTTCCAGTGAAAACAAATGATGTGGCTAATAGGAAAGGTGTCCTTTCTTCTCGCGCTCAACCATGAGACCAGTTAAAATAGCAGAATGATGTGCAGAGATGCCTTTGTATCCTGTGGAATCTCAGAATCCACATCAACAACGCTACAGCTTATTGTGTTGATATTGACAAACTAAAATGTCACAAAGGGCAGCTGTCTGCTTGCCTGTCTGCCTCACCCGTTGTTGAAAGAGACTTTCTCTGCATTTTGTTTTTAAAAAAATCATATCCCTTTCTTCACAGTTGGCGAGTCCTGAACCTATAAAGCACTGTAGGAAGTCAGCACTCTTCCAGTTCGCTGAGGTAAGGCACCGTTTTTATATGTGTAAAAAGAAAAGAAAAGGTATATTTTTATTAATAATATTTTGAATTTAATACAGACTGCAGAAGGTTGACACCAGAAGTATATTTTAGCAAAAGGTGTTGGAAGAAGGAGCTGTGTAGATAAGCATGGGATTTCTGCAAAGATGTATTTCTTATAGCTTTTATGTTTTCATATACAAATGAAATTACAGGTGCAATTCAAAAAGAATTAAATGTGCTTGAGATGTTCTTTCTCATATGACAGATAAAGCTAGGTCTCCACATTTTCACAGCTTGTCAGTCTCATATTTTCTGTAAGTTTGAAAGGGGATAGCTGTACAGAAACTGCCACCTGAGCATTTCCTGCTTCTTGCTACACTTACATCTCCCCTTGAATGGGACAGAAAAGATTTGATTGACATTTTGTTGTAATTCAGGGAGCTGGTTTTTCTGCAACATGCGAAGTGGCTCTGTGGCCCATAGGTTCCAGCAAAACTTAGAATTTTCTGTAGCTTGTCATTCAGTTTCCTAGAAACCAGACAGGGAAAATAGCATTTCTACTCCGAAGAGCCTACTTTAATGTAGCAGGCAGTCTGGAAAGTTTGTTTCCCATGTTGAAGTTGACTACAGTATTTGTTCACCTTATACTAAATGAACCATTAAAGAGCCAACTATCTGTTTGGTTATAAAGATGGGTCTGAGAGCCTTCAGGCATTATATATAGGAGGAATGTGAGACTTCTATGTTTTATAAACCTTCATAAATTATTCTCTTGATTTCCTGTAGAACAAAAACTCTTTGGAGTGGTTCCATATATTGTAGCATACAGAAATGTGTTTACACAGATGTGAGTACAGGTAGCTAGGAACCTTGACCAAATCATTTCAGAGACACATATATTTGTATGGTACATGTGCTGCATTTGTGTAACTTAATATCCAGATACAATGCTTGTATTCTCGTGACATATCCAGAGTGACGGAACATGCATGGAGGGGAGAATCTACATGCATTCAGTTGAATGTTTGCATGGCGTTCACATGTTTAGATAGCTGGCAGTGCTTGCTCTCATGATCCTATATGTGTTCATTCGGACTAGATTAGTTGCAAAAGCATGACCCCAGGTAACCAATGTGTTGCAGAAGGGTATATATTCTTGCACAGCAAAACAGTTATTACTTTTTGCCAAGATACCTAGCTCCTTGTTACAAAATCACACTTGTAAATTAGCTCATTTCGCCACCAGCCTTTCAAGTAAAATGGGAGGATCCAAACTACCATACAAAGGTAAAGATGGCCTGATTTACAACTGTGTAAACTGATACAGCTCTAGTGAGTTGAACATAGACGGTCAATGAAGATATATCTGATTACACTAAAGGAAACACTTGTCCTGTAGTTTTACAGTCTCCTTGTTGTTGTTTAGTCGTTTAGTCGTGTCCGACTCTTCGTGACCCCATGGAGCAGAGCACGCCAGGCACTTCTGTCTTCCACTGCCTCCTGCAGTTTGGTCAGACTCATGTTGGTAGCTTCGAGAACTACAGTCTCCTTAGTGATGGCCTAATTCTTTCATGTTTACCCCAGGAACTGAATGCCATACTTGAAAGCATTACTCAATTACTTTCTAGTATTAACATAATATTTCTTTATGTAATTCTTCTCTTTTTGTATAATTCTTCTCTGTTTGGATCCCCAGCTCTTCCAAGCGTGATTGTGGAATTTGAAATTTCCTTTGACATTTTGCATTGCGCTTGGAGGCACAACTTTTATCAGTGACATTGTGATATTATCTTCCCCCACCCCTTGCTTTCTTTGTTTCTACTTTAGATTTCATCAAGTACATCCCATTCAGGTCCTCCTGAATTAACAAAGCAGTGTGGGACATCGGCATTGTTTCAGTTGGCAGAGGTAGTATTAAAATCCTGTGGCTTAATTACTACTGAATGATGCTGGTTGCCAAGGTCTGGGAAGCGGAGCAGTAGTACAGTCATAATTAGCATTGTTGTTTATAGAACCGTAAATTACCACGTTGGTGCCAAGGAACAAGATTTACCTTGTCTAACCATTAGGCACACAGTCTCCGTAGAGCCAAGGCGGCAAGTTAAGAACTGCTAGCTTCAAGGTGCAGTAGTGCACTGGGTAGTAGGCAACAGCCAATATGTGAAATACTCCTCTTAATTCTTTTGTTCTTGGTTTTAAAGAATGCTTTATATCTTCCGTGGAAAAGTTCACAAAACGAAAATTGCATGGTGAGAGAGTTGTGCTGCTTCTTCCAGTGATGCAACATGCATTGTCCAGTAGAGGAGCCCATGACTCTCATGCAACCACAACCTGCATGTATCAAGTTAGTAGTCTCTATAAAAGCCAGTTCCCACCATTCCATCATTCCCTAGGGAGACCAAGAAAGAGAACTAAAATATTAGGATATTTTGAAGAACAGGCTTTATTTTCAATGAGTGGGATCACCGTGCCCTGAGTAGGTCCATGCAGTGTAAAATCCTCTCTACTGTACATGTTTTAACCATATTCCAATCACAGATTTTGCTTCTATTTAAATAATGATAAATGAATACATATAGAGGTGGCTGTTTTCTCTTCTTTGGTTAGACAAGGCAAATCTAAATTACACTTGGGTTTTATATTGAACTGAAAGCAGCTGAAAGCAAAGGCACTCTTTGTAAAATCCTCTTACATGTACAGTCTTTTTTCACTTGATCATGATGAGCGTGGCTTACATAGCACCACTGCTTTCAAATTCAGAGGATGACACCATCAGGTTAAAAACTAACAAACGACAGTGCCACTTTTCTCAAGTATTTCTTTTAATATCTTTAAGAAGATATTTGCCACAGTTTAATATGAACATAAGGGTGCTCCAGCCCACTACAGTCGGTGGGTTAAGCACATTTAACTTTGTACAGGGACACCTTATTTTAAAGTGCTTCACTTTATTGTGTTTCACAGATATTGCTCCTTACGAGAATGCAGGTACAGCTGCAGGCAGTCCCGCTCTCCACCACTGCTGCCCCTCTTCTGGCCATGGGAGTGGAACTGGCTAGAGCCAGTTTTTCCCTTGCAGCCTCTGGTGCCTGGCTTAATAGACAATAGTATAGTTTAACATTGTTTTTATATGCCACTAGGGGACGCGGGTGATCAGAATTTGCCGATCAGAAGGTCGGCAGTTCGAATCCTTGCGACGGGGTGAACTCCCGTTGTTCGGTCCCAGCTCCTGCCAACCTAGCAGTTTGAAAGCACAAAGTACAAGTAGATAAATAGGTACCGCTTCGGCGGGAAGGTAAACTGTGTTTCCGTGCGCTGCTCTGGTTCGCCAGAAGCGGCTTAGTCATGCTGGCCACATGACCCGGAAGCTGTACACCAGCTCCCTCGGCCAATAAAGCGAGATGAGCGCCGCAACCCCAGAGTTGGTCACGACTGGACCTAATGGACCTTTACCTTTACCTTTAGGAAAACCAAAACGTTTAGTGCCTGACTCATTCAGCCCTCTCAGGCTCTATTTATGAGGATCCAAGATCAAGGACTTCCCAGGTCCCTCTTGAACTCTAGTGAGGGGAATTTCCTCTTATCCTCTTCTGTTTCTGAGTTGGAGGAAGGGAAACAGTCCAGAGAAGAGCCTCCCGCCCCACATAAAACACATAAGAAACCTCCTCATTCCCTTCATTCCAGGGGATGTCCCTCCACCTGCAGGTCCAAAAGCAAATTTCAGGATTCCTGGGTCTCCTCCTGATACCAAGGCCACTGCAAATCAGGCAGAGGCTTCAACTAATATTGGGCTAACAGGCGCCAGTTCAAGGAGACCCAGGTATGATGCCTGGAGCCTGCTGGTGGGAGGCAGTCTGCATCTGTTCACAGAGGAGTGTAAATGCTAATTATAGGACCCATGAATGCTGGACAATGTTTATTTATTTAATAAGTTTATACACCACATTTTCTTCCAAAGAGCTTATGGTGGTGCTTCCCTCCCCATTTTATCCTCACAGCAATCCTGTGAAGTAGGTTAGGCTGAGAGGCAGTGACTGGTCCAAGGTCACCCATTGAGTTTTATGGCTGAGTGGAGATTCAAACCCTGGTCTTCCATAGGGCTCAGTAATTGTGAGGGTTATCACATTGTGCTATTAGGATGTGCTCCCCATTGTCTGGTAATCCTGCTGCAAGTATATAGGCTGTGTAATGTTGAACTGCCAAGAACAAGGGTGGTTTTTCTAGAACAAGTCACAAAGCTCTTACCCAGCATTGCACTAGAAATGTGAAATTAAAGTTTTACCCTTGTTTTAGATGTGCCTTGCCTCAGAGGAAGTAAAAGTGAGGGAACCCGGGAAGGGAAAGCTAGAAGCATCCAGAATTATCAAAGCCTTGGAAGCACCAGAGGAGATCAAAGTTGAAGAACCAGAGAGGGTGAAAGTAAAAATCGAAAAATCTCATAAGGTGAAGGGCCAAGAGCATGAGAAGACAAAGATTGGAACGTCTGAGGAGGTGACAAGATGCAGTCACATTGCAGATCCTTCTTTGGACAGCATGACATTAGTTGGACCTGACAGCACAAATGCAAAGGATTCTGTATGCCATTCCCAAGAACTGACAATGGCTGACATCAGCACCTTAGGATTAAGCAAGCCGGAAAAGCTAAAGAAGAAAAAGAAGAAGAAAAATAAGCCGGACCAGCAAGCACTTGAAAAATGTACCCCTAAGAAGGCTTGCAAAAAGAGGCAGTCTTCTGAATCAGACATTGAAAGCGTCATTTATACTATTGAAGCGGTTGCAAAAGGGGACTGGGGGGCAGAGAGACTCACAGAAGTGCCCCGTAAGAAAGCCCGCCCTTCCTCAACGGCGAAGGGGAACATCTTGGAAACAAAGTTACCAAAGAAAAAAGTGAAGTCGAAAGAGAAAAGAGCTCTAAAGGAAAAATGTGTAGAGACCACCAAAGAATCAAAGCCTCCTGACTTTTTTGACGTTACCGACAACAAGGAACTGCCATGCGAGGTACCCGAAATCATCAAATCGGAACCGCTCACCCCAACGGAAGAGATGATGCCACAAAACTTACCAGAGCAGGTCAAAACCGAGGACAGTGACTGTAACAAAAAGACAGAGACATGTGGCTCGAGGAAATCTGAGAGAGCTTGTAAGGGTGCTCTGTACAAAACTCTGGTGTCAGAAGGGATGCTGACATCCCTGCGTGCCAACGTTGACAGAGGTACGTGGCTTTTAACCTCCCTATGTTTGGCATGTCTGATATAGGCAGTGACTGCTGCTGTGTTATCATCTTGATCTGGAGTTTCTTCCAACAGCACAAGAAAGAACAGTGGCAAAAGCCTAGAACAAGGGTGGGGAACCTCAAGCCCAGAGGCCAAATGCAGCCCTGCTGCCAAGCTCTCAGGCCACACCCTCTCAGTAGCCATGCTCCAAACCATCCCCGGGTGCCTTTGCATGGCTGAAACTGTGATAATGCCTCTTGCTTGCCAGGATGGGGTGCTTGTTTGTGTATGATGGCTGCAAAAACCCGATATTCACATAGCTGGAATGTAGCCTACTGTACAAAATAGGAGTCACGTCCATCGCCTTGGGCGCTTTTGTTGAAAATAGGAATTGATTTAAAAATCATTTTTAAAAGTGATGGATTAATTTGGTTGCTTAAATCTGATGTTTTTCCTTGACAGACTCAGCCTTAACAAGGTAAAGGTACTTTGAGATTCAGGGTAATTAATTTAATCACACCACTTTTACAAATATATGAGGAGCTGCTTGGGAGTTGCAACGTTCAATAATAATTTAAGTTGCATGAGTTTTGCAGGTCCCAGTGTAGGTGCCCATCTGCCTGCCTGTCTGCCCAGCTTCCTTCTGTCTTAATGTCCCGTGATTCCATAACAGGCTCTATGTCTCCTAATGTCTTTCCTAGGGAAACGAAGCTCAGGAAAAGGCGGCAGCTCTGATCATGAAGGATGCTGGAATGAAGAAAGCTGGGCATTTTCCCCTGGTGGGGCAAGTGGGAACAAAAAGCTTAAAAAACCTAAGCCAAAGGAAGAAATAGTTGTGGGGTAAGTGCTATAATGTGCCGTTTTGAGTATGCAAACTTTTTCAAGCTGGTTTTAAAGCAAGTAGAAATTGCCTCATTTTCATAGGTTGACTGTGCTTTATGTCACTTTAGTAAAATATAGTCTTCTAACAAAAGGAATGCAACATTAAATCACCTATTCAAAGTTATTTTCCACTTTCCCCTATGGTTCTTGTTCACTATCAGTCTTGTGCTGGTATTTAGCCTTAGACAGAGTTTACTACCTATTTGGGGCTGCATTCCCTAGCAGTCGAAAGCCACAGTCCCAGCACATGAGGCATCCCCTACCAACCTCATTCCGTTGGCTGTGTCTCAATTAGAAGGCTTGAAATCTCCAGAGTTGAATCACCTATTCAAACCCATTTTTATTTCCATGTTAGCCTTAAGCCATACTAGAAATACAGCACATAGACGATTGATATATGTAAAATGATTAACAGTATCTGTACAGATGCGTACAGTAGACTAGAAGTAGGTCAACCAAAATTGTCATTACAGCAATCGTGACAGCAGTTCACAAACAACAACAAAAGCACCAATAGTGAATAAGCTCTCGTTCTTTGTTGACATCTGCTTTTAAAGAGTCAATCCTTTGTAGGAGTGATGAACTCTAGTCAAATCCAGATACTCCAAAATTGGATCTGATTTCACTCGTTCTGTGTAAGGTTGCAAATACCCTGCTCAAATAAAAAAAATAAAATAAAATAAATTGGAAGGCTACATGTACACAGCTGCATACCATGGATAAACATTTACCTAGTAAAGCACACACACTTGGGTGAGGAATCCCTACAGATTTTGAGTGTGTGTGTGGATGTGTTATCAGGGTGCTGGTGTAGTCTTTACTCCTGCATGCTGGTGTAGCCAAATACATGTTCTCACCCACAAATTGCAGTTGTTGAATTGGAGCCAATTCACCATTTCTTTTGAGCCACTTTCCCATTTGAGACTTAGTCTAAAGCCATTGTTTGAATGATTCATAGCTACAGGGAAAACCAATAATACATTATGCTTAACTGATCTGATAAAACAGAGGTGTTCATCTTTATAACTTCTTAATGGAGCAGACTACTAGCTATACTCCATTGTGAGGCTGGGAGTTTTCATTTCTCAAACAAACAAGGAAGATTAACTTACTGGCAAGCAATATTTCCATTCCTATAATGCACCACTGGGTAAGAGATTTTTGATTCTGCCTCACCGTAAAGTACTTGGATTCCTAGCATTAATTATCTTCTTTCTGTTGTTGAGAGGTAGGGAGAGGTAATCTGTCTTCGCAAGTTGATTTTTTTTTCTATATGAAGAATCACATCCTATTTCTTTTTGCTAAAAAAACTAGTCAACCCTTTTCTAATTTTCCCTGTATCATATTTTTTTATTTGCTAGGAATAATACCCAGATTCTTTGTCCCACAGTAATCTGCAAAAATATTCAATAACCTTTGTGATTCTATTGAATTCCATTAAATTAATGATGCATTGTCTGCACTCAATAAATACTGTAATGACATTTTTTCAGACATTGTGAACCTAAAATTTCTCACCCCCTGTATATGAATTCAGATTGTCTTGTGGCACCCAATTTGTTTTTAAACAACCTTGTGGAACTTCTTGTTCCATTGTAAAGCTGTTAGATAACGTCTCTCCTAAACCAGACCTTATGGTGAAATATCTGTGTTGTTTAAAAATGTATACAGCTGTACATCAAAAGTCAAACGGAATCCGTTCCGGAAGCCCATTTGACTTCCAAAATGTTCGGAAACCAAGGTGCGGCTTCGATTGGCTGCAGGAAGCTCCTGCAGCCAATCGGAAGCCACAGAACCAGCATCAGATGTTGGGGTTCCAAAGAAAGTTCTTAAACCGGAACACTCACTTCCGGGGTTGCAGTGTTCAGGAGCCAAAACGTTCGCGTTGCAAGGCGTTTGACTTCCGAGGTACAACTGTATTATGCTTTATCTAGTTCCTGTCAATTTTCCCCACAATTGCCTTCTACCTTCTTTAAATCAAAAGTCATGTAAAGCTGTTCATTCTTTGGGTACATTTAGTAGCCCGATCCTGTGCATGATTACTTAGAAGCAAGGAGTGCTGTCCTTTACATACCTACTGAGATGTAAGACCCATTGAGTTCAGTGGGACTTACTTCCAGGAGAATGGGCATAGAATTGTAGCCCAACAGTGCATTCCATAATCCTGGTCAGGCAGCAGTGGGATGGGATAGAGCAGCAAAGCAACATCCGCAGCCTTGCCACTTAACACCAGGGTGGTCGATAGACAAAATGCTGATCTGCATCTGAAGGCAGCCCTGTTTAGGAAGTTTTTCATGTTTAATGCTGTATTATGTTTCTAATGTTTGGTTGGGAGCTACCCAGAGTAGCTGGGGAAACCCAGCCAGATGGGCGGGGTATAAAATACTACTACTACTACTAATAATAATAATAATTTATTATCTGCCTGGAATCACATGACAGCAGTGGGGCCAGCTTAGGATCCGTTCCATGCCACATTCTATTCAAATCCAACCAGCAGTACTTCTACCCACTCATGATTTTGTTGGGCGGAATGGGGAGCTCAGTGCTGGAAGAGTGACACTGGCATGGCTGTTTTGGGCTGTGCAGAGGGAAGCCTCTGCCCAGTCCACACACACGAAACCCATGGAGGATCAGGGTTTTGGATGGCAACCTAAGTCCCATTGCTGGTATATGACTTCCTCCCAGGTACTCCTCCCATCTTTTTTCACACCGTATAGTGACTTTTAAAAAATTGTTTAAAACACAATCCCCCTAAATACAGTGGGATACATACTTCTAAGTCAGTATATATAGGATTGTTCTGCACTATATTGTAAAACAAAGTAATGATCCACTCAAGAACAGTGTCATAAAAGCTTTACTGCCCTTTACTATTGTACAATTTTACTGAATAAAAGTGACTTGCTGGTTTATGTTGTTTTTAAAGGCTTCACAGCAAATGATTAAGTAATTGTCCATTTTAATAGTATTATTTTAATACTATTAAATACTATAGTAATAGGATTGTTCCTTTTCCCAAAACTTACCTGGCAGTTTTTCTTAATAATATTGTTCCTTTATGACCATATCCGTGTTTCAGTTAGTCTCACAGCTGATTGCAATTTATTAACAAAATGCAGTAAATTCTGTGTTCTAAAAATAAAATAATAATCTATGAATATTTGAGGAAATCCCAGTAAATCAAAGCAAAATTCCAAATGAAACCACCTTTTACCTGGAAGTGAGTGCCATTGACTCAGTGGGACTTATTTCTGAAAGATTGAGGTATTAGCCCTAGTGTGGCAGACTCTTGAAATTGTAGGCACAATTGCATGTGGAAAGCTGTTTGGTTTTTTAAAAAAGTATTTCCACATGGTCTGACCTGTGGCTCCATCTTGTTGATTTGGTCCTGTTGATCAAAAAAAGAGTAACAACAACATTTTTTTTGGCCTTCCATTTTCTAGCTTAGCAAAGCTGGAGGAAGAATTTGAGAAAAAATTCAACAGCCTCCCTCAATACAGTCCTGTCACATTTGACCGGAAAAGTGCATCTGTTCCAAGAAAAAAGAAGAAGCTTGGTAACTGCTCAGCAGACCAACAGAAATCTAACAAAGGTGAGAGGCTTCTGGATAATCCATTCCCAGTTATTAGCAGCCACCCTGCTAGGCCAGAAGCTCTTACAGTCTCACTTCACTTAATGTATGCATGTTTGAGCAAAGATACATATTTTATTTGATCATGTCAGAATTTTCACACATTCTGCTTATTGCTTTTCCATTGATGCCTGGTTCTATGTGGGAAGAGGACAGGCAAGTTATACCTCAGGAAAGAAGGGCTACTGTTTTATTTAAAAATACTTCAGTTTTGCCTGCTTACTATCTTAACTGCATAAACTTCTGAGAATAGTTTGCTTTTTAAAAAAATTTATTTATTTTTACAGCTTTTCAAAACTTTTTTATTTTCTGTTCTAGGTTGAGAAAATAGTAAGATTAGCCTTGGGCATATTTGGTATTCTTGAACAAGCTTTTTAATCTCATCCTGAGACCTTGTTTGTGAAATATAAACAGAAACATGCCCTATTGCACATGGATGAAAAGAGGAGTAACAAAATAAAAGTATAACTTGTTTGTGCATTTGAAATGTAAATACTTTCTTTAGAGAGAGAGATTGGCCACAATCTTGCAGTGTAGTCACACACACAAATCAACATATATGCCCTTATTTTTAGATGTAGTTATCTCCCTCACTTCAGTTTTGAAAGAATAGTACTTTTCCAGTTAATTCTAGATAGACTGCCTCTGCACTTGTGCAGTTGTGTTTGAAATGAGGGGGAAAATCACCGTAACAGTGGTGAAAAAAAGATTAGTAGACAGTATTGAAAATACTAGGATGCAACAGGCTGGCAACAATCTCAACTAAAAAAAAAAAAAAAAAAAGTGAATCTAGAAAAGATAGCAATTTCTGACCAAATGTCTAGCATGGAGGCATTCTGAATTTCTTGATTCTCTTTCACTTGATTTCAGTGGCACTTAGCCACCACTAACTGTTGGCGGATTGTGCCTGTTAATCAACAAAAAGTCACTTGCAGAACAACAATAATGCAATCAAGGGAATAATTGCCTTGTTTCAATGGAAGAGGTTGACAGGCAGAAACTTCTGACCGCCTATACTGCAAGCCTAAATAGAAGCCCACCTCTGACATGGTGTGTGTGTGTGCTCCTACACTTACCTTTGACTCCTGGCAAATGGTTAGTGCTGTGGGTGGTCGGTTGCGGAAGTGCCAGTCCCCAGTTGGACATGGGAGAAAGGAACCATGCTGCCCTTTGCTCTCTGCACTGTCAGCCTATATTGTGATCAGCACAGTCACATTTAACAACAGGGGTTGTCTGTAAGATTGAAGTGACAGAAAGGGAAGCTACTGTAGCAGCAACCATGCAGTGGTCAGTACAGGAAAATCAGAATTCTGTGTCTCTCCTAAATCCTGCAGAGTCTGCGACAATGCAAGAACCTTTGGTTGGCAGCCAGAAGAGAAAAGCAAGGAAAACCAAGATCACACACCTGGTTCGAACTGCAGACGGCCGAGTCTCACCAGCAGAAGTTCTGGGTAAGAATGTGACTGATTTTTTTTTCCTAGGTAGTTTTCAAAATTCAAAATATTTGTTCTTTTGTTTTTGTTTCTTAAAAATAAACATGATTTGTGGGCTGGGTGGGCAGGAAATAGAGTTTGGGGTTGAGAACAAACAAGTCCTAAGTTCTCCTCTGGGAGATGTATTTCTGCCTCTACAGGGTACAGCTATTGTCAGAAGAGAAGGAAGATGAATTCAGTGACTTCTTTGCTTGTAGGCATCCTCTAGTTGGCATTTATTTATTTCATAAAACTTATATACCACTTGATTGTAAAAAGCCTCAAAGCAGTTTGTACTCCTGACAAAGACTAATATGGGTCTGTTACAGAGAATATATTTTCAATTTTTGAGCATCAGTTTGTAGTCTGGCCTCTTTCCTGCCCCCACCTTGTGCCCCAAATAGTACCTGTTCAGAGAAGGAAGAAGCACTGAACAAGGCCGGACATTTTGAGCAGGGAGGGAGGAATGTATGTCTCCAATCCTTACAGCTTTAGGAGTCCCTTCAGCTGTTGTTTAAAGTTTACATTTTGCTTTCACTATAGAAGAGAAACCAAAGGAGCAACTACAGAGTAGTCTTCTGAAAGCATCGAGTATAGGGATGGACTGCAGCGAGGAATCCTTGCAAAACAGTGAATTGGAGGAAGGTCATAGTGTTACACCAGACATGCCATCTGTCTCTGCATTCTTTAGCCTAGCTGCTCTAGCAGAGGTAGCAGCGATGGAAAATGTGCACAGGTCAGTATGTGCTTTCTTCACCCCTTTGGCTTGTAACAACTCTTCATTTTAGCATCTGTACTTATATTTGAAATAAAGCACCCAGATCAAGCAGCACTTGAACTGTCTGTTGTGATCTACTTAAGAGCACCCTATTCGGTACATATTACTTGCATACATTGTTGTGTCCAATGCAGCATTCATGCAAGATGTGCTCACACAAGCAGAATTCCCTGCCCTTCCTTTCCGCTGCAGCCCTGTGACTCCTAAAAAGCTATCCTAAGGGCCAAGGAATCCTCAGGACAGGCCTGGCAGTTGGGACAGGGGGTGTTTAGTGAGCAGGAAGGCTGTGCTCATTCCTGCTGCTGCCACCTGAGGCAGTATGCTTTTGGAAACTGCAAAAAGGAAGAGTGCAACTGTGCTCAGGTGATGCTTGCAGGCTTCATTGATTGCTTTTACTTATATGCCACTTTTCCACAACAAGCTGTGCCCAAAACTGCTTGCAAGCAAACATTAGAAACATTGAAATAAAGAACATCAGGAATACAAATATACAAAATACAATGTCAGTAACTTTTCAAAACAATACCAATCAACAATCTAGCAAACACAGAATAAACACAATGTTACAAAAAAAGAGAAAGCCACCCTGATCTAGGCTTAAATACATAAATACAAAGCAAAAACAAAAGTTTACTGACAGTAGAGTTTCTGGTACTGGTCTTGTTGCACTCCAAGGAGCCTGGCTTAAAGTTCAAAAAGGAGTGGTAGATGACATACAGCTGGCCTACAGGCTAGGTGACATACGGCTGGCTCCTACATCTCTCATCCAGAGCAGACTGACAGCACCAAAAAGCAAGTGTTGGGAAGAGTGATGATAGTGAGTCTCTTCCCTAGCCTCCTGGAAGTACCACCTGGTGGTTCAGGTCTTATGACTTCCATATGCATCTGATTGGCCCCTGTAAGAATAGGATGCTGGACTAGATGGGCCACTGGCCTAATCCAGCAGGACCTGCTTATGTCCTTACAGCAACTTTTCTCACTTCTAAACCTTTCCTGTGGGTTTCACATCTCACATCCCTGGCCTTTTTAGGGGGTTACAAGTACTGCATTGAGAAGGAGGAGGTAGGCAAGTGCTGCATTGGATACAACCCACAGTCATCTTTGACCCCACCCCCCTTATTTGTAGGTGAACCCTTTAGTCTCGCTTGACTGTTTAGCATAATTTGTTCATAGCAAGAAACCAGGCTAGTATGTGGGGGGGGGGGTTAAGCCACAGTTTTTGTGTGCCAAGTTCAAAAACCAACTCAAACTGCATACTCATTTTCTAAAGAAGCAGGGAAATTCAAAATATATCATGCTAAGCTGCTTTCAAGACAGAGATATCAGAACAGAAGTTCATGCGCACAGTCGGAACAATATCTCCCTTGAACACAGAGATATCTTAATGAAATTTGGTGTGTAGGTTTGCAGCATAATTTTGTTTGAAATTCAGACCTCAGCATGACTCCTGCAACTGTTTTATGGAGGAAAAGAGAGAGACAGAAAGAGATAATACAAAATACATTTCCATAGTGAGGCTCTCAAGCAATCCGCTTTACTAGCAAGCACGATGGGAGCTGTGTTTATTGACCAAGCTTTCAGTGAGGCCTTTGTGTTCATTTGACCATTCAGCATTCCATTCGTTACTGCTTGTTGGTTTGTAATGCGTTAACTCTCTCGAACCCTGAGACAGCAGAGTGAAATTTGGAATATGCGTTCAGGAATTAAAGTTGGTGTGTATGTCCAGGACACAGCATGTCAAGTTCAGATCCCTCAGGTTAAAAGGAAAGAAGGCAGATGCAAAGTAAGATTGTGATACAGAACAGGAAGAAAGGTCTCCTGAACACGGCACTTTCCTCGTTTTTTAATTAAACTTACTTCAAAATATAATGAGCACTTAGGATCCTGATACCTAGTCAGTGGAAGAGATTGTCTTTATAATTCCCAAGCATGTGTGATCTTTCCTAGCCAAATGAAATGTTTGCATTTTTAAGGTTTTAAGCAGCATAGAGAATGCAAAGATTCCTTAAAGGAGATATTAATAAATCTGTCAGGCTTTGACAAGGGTCTAGGAACCAGGGCTTGGGGAGAAGCTGGCTGTTGGTCAAAGTGGGCCAGAAGCAGGTGTATAGTCCGAAAGAGTTTGGAGAGGCACACACTAAAGTAGAAATGGAGGATCGAGAAGGCCAGAAAGCGGTCGGTAGCTAGGGAAAGCAAAGTAGGTGTCGAGATGGATTCAGGGACTAGAGGCTGCTGCATGGGCTTGGAAACGTAACTTTGCAAATTAATTCTGGGTTGACATTCCATCTATTCTTCCTTTGCAGAAATCAGAGGACGGCGCCTCTCCCATGTGATGGACAGCCAAAAGAAATGTCTCAGGCTCCGGTGCTTATTTCCTGCGCTGACCAGTGAAACTCTACCCTATTGTAAAACGTTGTGCTTTGCCTAATATCCTAGCCTTGTCTTTACCAACGGATGCTAGTCAGTCCATGTGATGGAGGAACCCATAGACTGAAAATGAGTGGTTTGTGTTCAGGGTAGCACAGATTTCGCTTATAGCTTGGGTCAGGTCCCCTCCAGTTTGGGGCACAAGAATCTGCTACAAGGGTGTTGTTGTTTTTTTCTCTGTTAAGCAACAGAAATGAAAAGATCCTGGAGCTTTGCTTTCTATTGAAGGTTTTTAAAGTGGTAAATACATAGTTACATGGAAGAGGGCAGACTTTACTGTAGCTCACACAGCATCTGTTTCATCAACCAGAATATGGAAAATAGTTTCATATAATAACTAGCTACTCTAAAAGAAAAAAAAATACAGAAGAGGAAAGGGGGAGAAACTGACGCACTGCACTAGTTACTAGATATTCTTAGTCCTTTTTGTACATGAAGATTTCAGTTCGGAGATGGTTTATATAATAGGTTATGCCTACATTTATATATTTTAGAGTGAATTTAAGAACCTGTTTGGAGAATTCAAGAAAGCGTGGGGCAAGCGTACCATTGTTAGTGGCGTATGCGCGGTCCTATGGCCCATAAGTTCTGCACTTTTTTGTATTTGCCACCAGGATGGTAGAGTTTATTGGCAAAAAATGTTGACAGACTTTATTTTGCTTGGGTTTTGTTTTTTAAATAAGCATAGAATAATGAGGATGATCTGCATTTGAAACAAAGGTTTGGCATATTGAGAAGAACAATTCTGCAGATTACTGATTTGTCTTTCAAGCCTTGGAGGGTTCATTTATTTTTGGATAGAGGTCTAAAATGACTACGTGGGAACTAAAGCAGTGAAACAGGAAAAAAAATACTATTAATATGTTGTTCAGAAGTGACCTTAGTATTACTTCACTCTTTGGGGCAGGGCGGGGGAATTTTCAATTGACATGCACACTGATGAACATATTATACATTTTACAGACACTGGAATTGTCATAAATACTATGCACAGTCTAAATTGGCTTCATTGGTTGTATGAAGTGCCAATGCTAGTTTGGGATAGCTAAGTGCTGAGTGTTGTGTAAGTGAACGATGACTGAGAAATAATGTTCCTAAATTTAGGCTGTCAGACAGATCCCTTTCCAGTTCATGTTCCTTGTCTTTACTCTATATGTTCTAACTTACTCCCATACACACATCTCATGCCAGAGCAGATTCCAGCTTTCTTTACTTTTTTCTTTCTGTTTCTTAACCACTTCTCTTTTACCAGTTGCCTACGATCCAGTACGGCACACCTGGAGCAATCAGGGCTGTGTGTGCACAGAGCTCTCAAGAGTTAGCCCCACAAATTAGCTGCTTGATGTTCAACAGCCGATTGGCAGGATTTTTGCTTTGGGGGTAGCGCCCCCCAGCCCAGCTGTTGGATCATTAAAGGGAACTGTGCACACAACACTTGTTTGTGCCCCATCCAGCTAGGGACACACAAATAGAAGCCTCTTTCTTCATCCATATAGCCCCTGGCTGGATTGAGACAACATTGTTCCTAGCAGCAAAATATTCATTTGTTATTAGAATTTGACATGAAGTTACACATTCAACACAGGGTACTTCTTCCACAGCATAAGATGTTTCCCTGCATATTTTGCATCATAGCACAAAGACTTAACCAAATGCTATTGACCAGACCCCAGCAATAATTTTCTATGAGTCTTCTTCTCTCTGGTGGGATTTTGATAGTGTTCAGTTCAGCGAGACCCCTTTTTTATTGATTAGGTCTCTAAATGATGAGAGTTTACACAATTTTATCAGGCTTTCTTAATTTATACTTGACAGAATTGATAACGGATGTGTGTTTTGGGATTTTTTTGTAATTGGATTTAATAGCCATATGAAAAGTGACTCTTGAAACCTGCTTGGCTTAGCCTTTAATTGTTGTAACCAATGCATGTATTTCAGTGTCTGTGTCAGAAACAACATCAAACAGATCATACTCATTGTAAAAATTATGACAACTTAAAAGGAAAGTGTCACTTCAAGCCCATGTAAAAACGACAACAGCAACAAAAACAGACTCCTTGAAAGATGCAAATGGTGACTTGGATGAAGGAAAAATGCAACTTCAACAGGAATGAGACAGTTAAATGCTTTTTTTTTTAATAGAAAATTCAGGTAGAAAAATCTTCCACATGCTGCCTGAGCATGTGGTGCTATTTTAATAGCTTGATTTTGTTAACATTCTCTAAATTATTTTAACAAAACAAAATGCTGCCATCATGCCATACTGTTGGACATATATTGTGGTGGCTTTGGGAATGTCAGGCCATGTACTGGCTATGGTTTAAAACATTGTAAGTAGCTGAAATCCAAATACCTTACGGTGCAGCCTCTTCATCTTGACAGTCATACTAACATACAAACTCTGTTGAACCCATTAGAATAGATGCATTTTTGCTGGAGTACCACCTTCTGCCATTTAAATTTCAATATTGTTCCTAAAATATTTCTTTATATGAATGGTACATTTATAAAAGATGCATAAAATTAGCTTTTTTCTATGTGAATTAATATACCTTGATTATCTTCCTTTCTTAAACCTCATGAACTTTCCCTTAGACAAGGGACTGGATTTGGGTCAATTTACTGAAAAGGAGTGTTTTCTGATGCTTATAAACCTTTATGTAGATATGCTTAATTTTTAAGCAGTTAGGCACTGAGAGTAGCAGAAATCCTGCAAAGCTTTATAGTCCATTCGAAGCGCAGTCCACTTCAAAGTTCTCTTCGCACAAGCCCCATTGGAATGAGCAGTATACATGTTTTTCTTCAGTTTCCCGTCATTTCAGTGGTGCTTTTGCAGGAGAATCTACAGCTGGATGGTGCCCTGTGGCTTTCCCCCCCCTCGGAATAATGTTTTGATTTCAATAGAGAGATTTTCTGTAGCGCTGAATTTGTTAGAATGGGTGTCCCTAATTTCAGGTAGAAAGAAAATTTGTTAGCACAGAAAAATTCAAACCAACAATGTACTGTTTAATTGTTTATTTGTTTTTTTTAAATTTCCATTGTTTTGTGTTTTTGTTTTTTTAAAAATAATAATTGTGGCATGTATTTTCGTATACCAGCAATGTCACCCATCAACTTATGTCCATGAATTCATTTAGAGACAGCAATGTTGCACCTTAATTATTTCAAATGAACCAAAATATTATGTTCTCTGCTTTCATGTTTATTCTGATTCTATTGTATTATAGTTTATCAAGCCCATTCTAACGTAGCAAAAGCTATCAGTATTTATGCATTTAACCATATTCTCTAGATTTGAACCTGTGTATGTCTTTCTTTTTTACAAGAAAAAATTTAAATAAGATAAAACAAATTATTCTTACCCTCCTCTATGGTTTCTTAATGGAAGTGAGGATATATTTCTCAATGTGTAAATTTAGCACTATCCCATTTTCTTTGTTTTTGTTTATTTATTTAGTGACCTTTGATATTTCATGTAGTTTTGAGGTATATACATAGAAGCTGATACTGCAAGCATAGAATCAGCTGGGAGAAGGATACTGTAATGTCATTTTCATGTAATTGTGTTAGTACTGTATTACGGGGGGGAGGGAAGGGGAGTTCTTCAAAGTATTTAACATGTACATTTGATTTTGATTCTCCCATTAGGTTGTATTCCAGATACAAGACCAAATTTGATGTAAAATCTTGTGGAGCTTATATCATGCTGTTGTACTTATGACAGTATTTTTCCCTGGATTGTACTGTGATTCCACAAATAGGATATATTTATTTAAGAAGATATAGTATGCTTTTTTACTAATACAATATCCCAAAGCTATGAGCAAAGGAGTTCTTTCTTTGTCTCGCTGTCCAGATTACAGTTCAGTCAATGATTTTCAGAACCGATTTACAAAGTGTTGTGGATGTGGTGAAGGCAGCAGAGATATACTGGCCTCTGTGACTTTTGCTACTTTTTTCTAAACAGCTTACGTAGCATAAATGTAGCTGCTAGTCACTTGATAGCTGCTCGCTCCATATATTCACCTGCAAACCAGTACAAGTTGTATATTGCGCTTCAGCGAGGGGAACATACACAGGGTGGAAAATGCCTATCAGTTTTTAAAAATGGTGCATCCCAAAGGGTCCATTCAGTCTTTTAAAAAGAGAAACGTCGTTGTCTCTGCTCAGAGGCTCACAAGAGGAATAGGTCTGAGAGTCGTCCCTGGCACGCAACATGTGCTTGGAAAAAGGATAGGCTCCATGAATGCAACGAAATGTCATCTACATCTTGCTGTCTTTGCAGGTTTCTGGTTAAGGGCTGGAACTGCACATGGACTGTTGGGACTGGGGGAAATCTACATGCTTGCATAGCACAGGTGTTCCTTGTGCAGAGCCCGTTTTGCAGATTTTGGGGGTCCCTATGTAGTGAGAATATAACACAACATTGTTGCCTGGGATGATAAGGAATTGCTGTGTGTTTTCTACTGACTGAATTTGAAACGGGCTGTAAAAATTTAGTTTTCTGATCCAATAGTGGCATCACTGTCCATTTCACACTAAACCCTTTCAGACAACTGAGTAGCACTGTATTCTCAGTGAATGATTATCTGTGGGGGTTGTGGGGGGGCTGGTTGAAGCTACCCTTAGTGTGAAGCATTAGAATAGAACAATTTTTCAAATGTGCTCCGTGCTTAGGAACTGCAAGAAAAGTGTTGTTTTTTTGTGCTGAAGGGAATAGCCTGGGAACTGGGTTAATCAAAGAGAAAAAAAGGGGGGCATTATTGCCACATGAGGGAGTTATATATTTTCTTAATCTCTGAAGGAAAAATGTGGTAAAGACTATAATGATTGTCAGGTTTGCCTTGTACTATTGTGTATTTATGCCTCTCAGCTGCACTCTGTTCTACAACTAATTCTAATAATGCTACCTCTATTAAAGGCTACTGCAGTTGACTTCCATTTGTTTTCAAGATTCCTCATGC